GACATTATTTAAAATATACGCTGAAACATACGGGAACTCTTTATAGGGGAAGTAATATGCAACTAAGCTTTTGATATCACGAGAACCCAAAACAAATACTTCATTTTTACATGAAATTCCGATGTGAGACTGATGATAAAAATAATATAGGTACTATATAATATAATAAGCACAGGAAAAAAGTATCAGCATGTAAAATTTTGTAACTAAAATATAATTTCGTATAAAGCTTTATAGTGAATAAAAAATGAAAGACTTTCTGTATTTAAGAACGTTACAACGCAAACATAAAATGTCTTCAAATCTCTGATTAAGTAGCTATCTTATCTATTTTAGATAAGAAGCACAATTTTTAGAATTTCTCATGCAAATGGAATTGTCTGCAGTATTGTTACTAGTTGGCTGTCATTTTAAATATAAATTAATGCGTCTGTATTGCTCGTAAGTAAACATAAATTATAGTGTAATTTATTATCTATGGTTCTGTCTTTTAATAGACAATATAAATACTTATCTATAAATATTTTACACAATGCAAAATCACGTACTACACTAGTTCGATCACATGTAACCTTCTTTAAGAGTCAAGTATCCTATTGAGACGGAAAAAATATTAAATCTCATATTAAAAACAAGTTCTTCTATTTTAGCACTGTGGCGAGACAAAGCATTAAATTCAAATACCCTTCACAAACAACAGAAATTATACACTATACTTACACTATGATACAATACATTCATGATTCAAGTATACTTTGAAATATAAAGAGGTTTTACAAACGATAATCATGGAATAATTGAGAACCCTTTTAAGACAATATTTATTCGAAATAGTTTAAAAAAAATTGTACCTGACATTATCTAGAATTAAACATCGCGTGACGCGTCATAGATTATAAATTATATCATAAATTCCAATAAGTCATATAGATAATATAATTATATTATTAACTTTAAAGCTAAATTCATAATAATAATACTGAACTGTTGAAACAAATAACATATAATTTATCTTTTCATTTTTTGGCTGAGCAGTGCACGCATCATTTATAATTTGGGTTAGAATTTAAAAAAGCCATTAGATTAGAATTTGAACTGAAGTGAAATTTGAAAATAAATGAAATTATTACGTTTTATGTTTTGTCCTAATATAACTGGTTTATTATTTCAATTATAACAAATACTAGTTAACTGTTTAAAAAATCTATCTATATGACTGCCAAACGAAAATATTGACAAATTAAAATTACTTATTCTATAAAAAGTTCCACACAGTCGAGTTGAAAATCTTGTCCTTTAGGAAATCGTGAAATTATGAATAACTTATTTAAAATGTATGTTAATTATATTTTTTCCATAGATATCCCTTTATATTTTTGTTCTTCGTTGCTTTTTAAAACATTGAATAGATACTGATATAAATTTGGAAATGTTTCCAGGGAAATATAATTTAATTTTTATATTAGAGGTAATAAACGTTTTTTGTTACTTCGTATTGCAATAACGGACACACCAGCGGAGCGGCAAACAAAACTTATTATTAACTAAAATAAACATGCTTTAATCCAGAGGATTTCCTGCAAACATTTGATAATATTAAAATTAAACACAGTTATCCTGTATTACATGTTTAAGGAAAATTTGAATAATATATTAAATATTATTTATTACATATGTGTGTTTGATTCTTAGTATTTGCAATAAATCGTCCAAGTTATGCGATGGATATAACACTTTATATATTTCTTATCTATGATATCCATAGATAACATATTTGGATGAATAAAGAAAAAATCCACGTATTTTTTTAAAATGATGAATTAAAATAAATAAGCTCTTAAGAAGGTTTAAAATATTCAAACAAACAGATTCTTAAAATACAAAACATGGCGGATGGTAAACAATAAAAAAATCCTAAAACATCTGGCATGTAGGACTGTATAAAAAAAAACATCACCCACGACGAAAGTAGTGGGGGGTGATGTTTATAAAATGAGTGGAAATAAAATTTGTGTACATGCTTATAATACATATTTATTCTTTATAATAAGGGTGTGAATTTTTTTAATAACCTCATTACGTATGACCAGCTCTTGACAGCCATACCCAGATAAAAGCTTATAATTTGCTTATGGTTTATCAATTATCGAAATAGGTTATATATGTCCATGCACCTTTCCCCATATTGTAGATTCGAGGTTTGTTATGTATTTAAAGAATTTTGGTCATTTTCACATGTATAAATATTAACTCTTTTAGCTACACCAAAGCTAACAGTTATTAACTTATTATAATCAAATAAATAAGAACCGTAGAGTATAGATACTTCTCTTTTATAATATGTATTTATAATATAGATTTATACATAATTCCAATTTATAAGGCCTGTTATCATACACATCTTTAAAAAATTACGCGTTTTGATAAGATAGAAGAATTTAATAAAATTTTTATGACACACGTCATATACAAAATACAACGTTTTGTTTCTTTGAAACAATTGATTCCTGAACGCATTATAATTCTATGAAATATTTAAATATGTGTCACAGTTTCATCCTTATAAAGCCCGGTTTCTTGTTTATTTGCTGAATATACTTCATAACAACAATATGTTTAAGGAAAATACCTACAAACTATAAACATATAAGGATGATTTTTTTATGACTATTTTTAGATAATGATCCTAAATTTCAAGATTTTGAAGTTTTTTTGTTTATTTAAGTGTCCGTCATACATAAATGTACCTTTACAAATATCTTTAATATCGAATTTGTCATATATATACGAATTCTTTAGTGACAAGCTCTGACTCACTTTATTGTTATACGTATGAGTCATTTATACAAATTCTTTAAGATTTCGATTACAATATTCATTACTAAATGACCATAGACGTCAATACCATAAAGAGTTCAAATGAGATCATACGTCATTTATAAACAATATAATTGACATTTTGATAATTGTTATATAATAAAGGGTGAGATTGAGGCTATTCTCGTTAAATAAAGGTTTTTTCTTCATTATATAATATATATACAGGATATAAAAATCAATAAAGTTTTAATAATAATTCGTGAGAAGGGCGTGGATTGAGTCAGACATGAGTCACGACGCATCTGCAGGGGTGTTCGTCGATCGATACTAGCAGACGATTGCAAACAGCTCTAAACACACTATTATATATACAATTTAGATGCGTTGCTATCGATTCTGTCTGCCCTCACCGTTTAATGCGATTCTAAAACAAAATTCGAGTTGTTATTCTATAGGAGTCATCTTAACATACTTTATTGTTGTGTCCAATGTAAATACTCTACGAAAGCTACTGAAAATGACATTTATTTTAATGCTCTTGTGAAATGAAATTTAGAATGTACCTACGTATTATTAAGATTTTAATTATTGATCTGAATTTAACAGGATTTTAAAGTGATTCATAACTTTTTTAACGGTAAATCAAAATATTCTTGTGGTTTTTTATATTAATAAGGAAAAAGACACGAAATATTGCAACATACAGCTCATAGGCTTATTCATACTTTCATTATTTTTTATTACAACAATAATTAATATTTGAATGTGAAATAAGAGATATTAGCTTTGTAGATGAAATTAACGGAATTTTAAGACTACTTAAATGTAATATATTCAGTAAGAAAGCGAGCATACAAATTAAAATATAATTTATAACACAGAACTAGCTCATCAACTTTTTTATGATAATAAATGCACTTGGAGTTATTTGGCACGACGAAAACTTTCAAATGACAGAATCGAATGTCGATACAAACGTTGAAACGTCAAAAGTAGTGCTTACAACCAATTAAATTTAAAATAAAATATAGGTTAATATGTATCGGTTATTAGATAAATATGCCGATTCATAGAGAAAGTATGCACTTCAATGTTTCTGCGACGCGGTGAAATGTGTTAGAGAGCAATTACTGCATCAACAATACAGTCACACGATAAACATACACTTGCATTTTTATAGTTTTCTTTTGCATGATATTGAAGAAATATCTAAAAATGATGTTGCATTTCTAGATATTGAGTATTATTTTGTGAAATTTACTATTAAATTTATATAGAAAATGTCAATAAATATCAAAATTGACGGTATAGATAAGTCACGATTATAATTTTTGTCACATCCCTTTTAAATCGATAAGTTTCTACCGAATTTAATAATTCTTGTTGGCAACATGATATTTATATTATTAATACTTCTAAGAACGTAAATATTATCTTTGCTAATCGGAAAATAGGGTTACATCATGTGCATTATTCTAACATTAAAATACGTGGCTGAGCCGGTACGCGGGCTGGCGTCCTTATCACAATCAGACATTATCAGAACTTTATCACATTTGTATACACATCTCCATATAAGGTAACGAAAATTGTGATTGGTCGGATATCATGCTGGCCGTACTGTATGAACTCTGATAAGACCGTTTTATATAGTTAATGCAGTTCGCGAGTTAGTCACTTTAGTGAGACGTGTCGAACGTAGCGGCTGTCACATTTACTCGGCTGTGTACTTAATACTCTTAAACGTAAGTTATAATTATATTTATTTAATTGTGTTTAAAATTATACATATAAAGAGTTTGATTTGTTTTAAATGTGAGTTAATATGTATGTGTAGTGTCAATTTATATTACGTAACGTGATTATGTAATTATGTCAAGTGGTAATGAAGTAGCAGTTTTTTTTAATGATATATTTATATCAGGTTGTAGTTTTTAATATATTTAATAAAAATTGTTTAATTATTTGAATTACGGATTAAAGTAAGGCACGGTTTACAGTTTGTAGTCTAGAGAAATCTTAGGAATTAACTGATTCTTTCACTTGGTGATAAGCAAAGATGACGTGTCCATCACATGTATTGAGTGACTTTTAGTTAAATATTATGATGATTATTTAATAAAAGTGTTATTCATCTGGACCTGCTAACTTATTCTGAAATGTTTTCAGACTAATTCAAAATGTGCGACGAAGAAGTAGCCGCGTTGGTAGTGGACAATGGCTCCGGTATGTGCAAGGCCGGGTTCGCGGGAGACGATGCCCCTCGGGCCGTGTTCCCGTCGATCGTGGGCCGCCCTCGTCACCAGGGCGTCATGGTCGGTATGGGTCAGAAGGACTCGTACGTCGGCGACGAGGCGCAGAGCAAGAGAGGTATCCTCACTCTGAAGTACCCCATCGAGCACGGCATCGTCACCAACTGGGACGACATGGAGAAGATCTGGCACCACACCTTCTACAACGAGCTGCGTGTGGCCCCCGAAGAGCACCCCGTGCTGCTCACGGAGGCTCCCCTCAACCCTAAAGCTAACAGGTTCGTGCGCCCTCTACCGAGCTCTACGAATTGGTTATCTTCTATCATTTATTAGTGCAATGAGATAACGGTTCGTCTTGTATGTTACAGAGAGAAGATGACCCAGATCATGTTCGAGACGTTCAACACTCCCGCCATGTACGTGGCCATCCAGGCCGTGCTGTCCCTGTACGCCTCCGGTCGTACCACCGGTATCGTGCTGGACTCCGGGGACGGTGTGTCCCACACGGTGCCCATCTACGAGGGATACGCGCTGCCTCACGCCATCCTGCGTCTGGACTTGGCGGGCCGCGACCTCACCGACTACCTGATGAAGATCCTCACGGAGCGTGGCTACTCCTTCACCACCACGGCCGAGAGAGAAATCGTTCGCGACATCAAGGAGAAGCTGTGCTACGTCGCTCTCGACTTCGAGCAGGAAATGGCCACCGCTGCCTCCAGCAGCTCCCTCGAGAAGTCCTACGAGCTTCCCGACGGACAGGTCATCACCATCGGAAACGAACGATTCCGTTGCCCCGAGGCACTCTTCCAACCCTCATTCCTGGGTATGGAAGCCAATGGCATCCACGAAACTACTTACAACTCCATCATGAAGTGCGATGTCGACATCCGTAAGGACTTGTACGCCAACACAGTACTGTCCGGTGGTACCACCATGTACCCAGGCATCGCCGACCGTATGCAGAAGGAGATCACAGCCCTGGCGCCTTCAACCATGAAGATCAAGATCATCGCTCCCCCGGAGAGGAAATACTCCGTATGGATCGGAGGCTCCATCCTCGCATCTCTGTCGACCTTCCAACAGATGTGGATCTCGAAGCAGGAGTACGACGAGTCCGGCCCCTCGATCGTGCACAGGAAGTGCTTCTAAGCGCCCATTAAGACTTTACACATTACTTGATGCCCTACACCGAGAGCGCCGGGCGGCGGCTCACGTTACGCTTGTGATTATAAATATAAGTGCAGTATTTAAATAGGATGTAAGGTATCGTAATATGCATATTACGTAAAATAATTTTTGACAAAGATTTTAACTTATTTATTGAAGTCACTAACATTTTTAATAAATATAATTTATACCGGTATAAACATTGCTTTTTATTCAAACCTTTTTGCTTTAACTTAACAAAAAACTGTTTGACTTCTCATTCATCTATCATGGCATAACCCAAAGTTCATTTATTAAAAACACTTTACAATTTGAAACCAAAAACTCAGTACACTATTTTAATAAGTGCCAACTTAAAAACAATACTTACATAGTACTTAAACGAAATTAGTTTTTGAATTTATTTATTTTCCACTTTTTTATACATAGTTAAAAATAGCATACGGCGACCTTGCCTTATTTCAATAGTAGGTGATGGTTTGTTATAGTTTATTTTGCCTTGGCAGAAAAAGAGTGTTTTTTGGGCACGTTATATTATAAAGCGGCAGAGCATCGGAAGGTTAACCTGTTGGAGGTTGGAGTACCTGTTAAACTAGATGGTTGGAGTACCTGTTAAACATATCGTCTTTGGCAAAATAAATAATAAAAGGAAGAATGAAATGAGGATTCATTAAAGGTCTATCTGTATATATAAGCAGCTGACATATGATAATAATAGTCAATAGTAGTTACTACAAATAGTATTTTCAGATTTTGTAATTTCCTCAAAGCTAAAATTATAACTAAATATTTATCTAATCAAAGTAATATATTTTCCGAGTGTCGTAATGTTTCCAAGTTTATAATAATTTCAACGAATTATGTTAGCAAAATATTACCATTTATCCTTTATTTTGTTATTTTCTTGAGGAAAATGAATATTAAATTTAATTAACGGTTGTATTTCAAAACATTTTAATAGGATATTGATTTACCAATAGCTTATTTATATAGTAGGTATTGTTATCAATGTTTTGAGTAAGTTATATTAAGGAAAACTGCAAGAACCTTGTTTGTTTTTATTTACGAGTGCAATAGAACTGTAAAGAGAACAACTGTGGTGGATGAACAATAAATTTTAAGTTCTAAAAGGTAATAATAAAAATGATTCCGTTTTGGTTCATAAAATGTTCGTTTTAAACTCTACATAAGAAAAATTTACGAGCGCTAACCACTTCTTGGGTCTTACTTTTGTATTTAAACATAAAACATATGCTTTAAATATACCTAAAGTTTGTAAACGAAAGAATCTTAAGATATAATCACAAATTTCTCAGAACTCTTTGTGTGGTAGCGACAGGCGACGCCCTTACTGGGACGTAGTAAAGAAATATGAAGCTGAAATTCCGTTCTGTTTACAACGCTCACGCTATTGACCTGTTGTATATTTCGGATGTATATTTTTAACTGACCTAGCTATCGTAAAGATGGTCTATAATTAGTTACGACACACCCGCGTCTGTGTTTCGTCTATCATGTGACGTTGAGCCGTGCATTTCGAACCAGTTAAACTATTTCTGGACTCAGCGAAATATACATACCTATATATAATTATATTGGTCAAGTTATATTTAGCTAAACGCTAATGAAATAAATATTGAGGCGTAAAAATGTATAATTACTTATTGTTAGTGCTTTATTTCACAAATTCGCAATATTAAAGTGTTCTCATTGTGAAACTTGGTTTTCAATATATATTTTATTCATAATAGAACTAGTATTATAATTTAATCAACAAGCTAGCTGCTAGTGCAAGGGTTAAACAAGATATCCAAAAATAGCTGATATGCACGAGCAGACGATGCAGCGAGGGTCAAGGGCGCGGCGTCAAAGCGATCGATGCCCCGCCATGTTGTACGCAGACGCCGCCCGCTAGACCAGACGCTCACGATTCAATAACTATTACATTCTATATGCTTTCATATTAAAACGTTCAATTTATGTCTAGAAAAAGCCAGTCTGCATCTCAATTAATCTCTAACAACAATACCTTTCATTTATATTTATCATTCCTTGAACTAATTAGATGCGGCCAATGTTAAATTTAATTAGCATCGTAATCAATTTGTAAGTCTAATTTATTACGTGTAAAAAATATATTGGTACCAAATTTTAATACTTGGTTTTATAGGTTTATCGAAACGAAAACATCGTCATGATTAATATTCAAATTAAAAATATTTCATAGCTTTTATAAGTTTGCAAAAAATGCAAAACAGTTCAGAAAACCTATCCAGACATTTTTCTCTATTTATGAATCCGAGTTTAAAAAACAGGATCCCCTTTTAAAATACTTTTAATAGTCATATTTAGTCTTTATAGGCTACAAGTTAAAACGCTTTTTAGTCTACGGGTTCGATATTGACTAAGAAAATTAGCAGACAGAATATTATTCCTTCGACAAATATTTAAAACACGCTAGTCAAGTTATACATTTGTTACTAATCATTTTAACATTTAGAATATTGGCAACACTGCAAATACACATGATGTACAATCCTTATAATAGTTTTATTCTCTTCTCATAGAAGGACTTGAATTTTATAAAGTCATGGAAGCCATTCGTTACAACAAGGCTGCCAACATTATGGACATGCTAATGACTCAGTTTATTGTAACTTGGTATTCAAAACGAATACATCTCGAAATACAATAGTAATTGTGATTCCTAGGGTCGTACCAAACATCCTTTGACTCATGTGATATCGCAAACGGAAGCTAATATCCATTATTATATTATGCATTTACCTTATAAAGTTATTTTTAATCTCTCAATGCTATATAGTATAGGAATTTTATTGAACTTCACATTAAATTGTATTTATTCATATAGAATGCCTATAAATATTATTATAAATATTTATTGATTCTAAATTATGTTATAATTAGCTATAATAAATAGTCTACTCTAACAATATCAGCAATTTACGACCCTAAATGTAATTTTTCTGCTGAGTCAAAAATTTCCTGTCCTTGGCTGTTCAACAATGACCCTTGGTTTGTGAAATCGAATTGACTTGGGGCAACTTTCGAGGGTTGAGTCACCGACGTAGTACTCACTACGCATGCGCCCGTCAGCTGTGACTCATTGGATATCATCGGAGCAGTAGTTCCGATTACTTAGATATTACACATTTGTATTTACAAAAAAACAATACAACACTAGTATGAGACAGACACATGCTGATTCACTTTATTACTTTTATAAATATTAAACGATAAAGTATATATAAAAAAAAACATTCTATATGTATTTCTGTTCCTTACTACAAACTCATTCCATTCATGTAAGACTCGAAGTCCATAATATTTTTATCTCATTTAAAAATACTGTAGTAGACAGTAGTATTAGTACCTGTTTCAACTGAGGCTTTATGTTTCGTATTTCTTATTCAATAAAGCTGACTTAGCTACGTCTTTTAAAATATTGAACATGTCCTATTAAATAACAAATTCAACTTTCCAAAATAGATCGAATACATCATATTATACGCATGTTAAACACCTTAAAAATATAAATGAGTCATATAAGATTATGGTATAAGAATTCGATAAAAAACAATTTAAGTCAATAAAAATAGTCTTAGTTTATTTTATGATTGATAAAATAATTTTAAATCGTATTTTTCTGTGTATTAACGAAACAAAATTTTCATTTTACCCGTTCGAACACTACGAAAGACGTTTGTGTGTTATCGTCTGCTTACAGTGACCGTTGGGAGCGTGCACCAATCAGCATCCCGTGCCCATATATGGCAAAACCCGTCAACTTGCGGCGAGGAGGTCTTGTCTTGAATGCGAGAAAAAACTACATTCCAATTTCGATTTATGAACAATTGCCTGACATTAATGAAGTTCGACTGTCAGCAAATGGTTTTGTAGGTCATTTTATATGGCGTAGTAGAAAAGTAAAAATTTTGCAGGTATTAACATTCGTTGAGTAGGTGGGTGCTAATTTTGCTAGCGAAACTCTGTGTGAACTGTTCAAGTGAAACAAATCACATTCATCAACGGTCGTACGACAGACTACTTCTGAGCCGTTCGTCGTTTCTCAGCGATCAGACGTTCTCATTTTTTTTTACGTTGCTTTGATTTCTCTGTAAGTTGTTTTTAAGTTACACCTGTATTTCTAGATATAACATAAAATTTAAGGTTATAATTATTAAGTTTAATAATTATGTTCTGGTGGATAAGTAATGAAATTCTCTTTGATTATACATATTTAGCTTTTAGAGAAATATTATCATTTGGCACCAAAGTTTAATGGAAGTAAAAGAGATTTATTACAAAGGTTTTTCTTCGATCCTTTAAACCGTACGTAATATCTGCTCTTGCAATATATAAACGGTCACTTACTCAAACCAATTGTATCTAAATGTGTTGGCACGACGCCAATATTATTGATTATTACGATTTATTATTTTTTAAGATGGTACTTTCACTAACATAATATACAGAAATTATTGATAAATATGAGAAAAATGTGTGTAAAAACTTTAATTATCTATTATTACACACAAAGGTTATCAAATTAATATATGAGAATTAGAATTGAGTGCCTTTCGAGGCTGAGGTCTGAGAAGTTATTATCAAGAAGCCCGATATGAACGCTATTGGAGCTGGCTGCGGCGTCGCGGTGAGGGGGCTGGGTGTGGGGGGGACGCGCAGGCTCCCTGCAGCGCAATACCATATATGGTAACGAAAACTCAGGATATCTCCGATTGGTTGAGAGCTAGCGGCGGTCGCGGGCCGGCGGGTAGGGGCGCCCCGATAACCAGCCACGTTTATATACTCCGGATGCCTCGACCGCTAACATTCCACGAAGTGTGCCCGAGTTGAGGTGTTGTGCAGCATTACCGAGGCTGTGCATAGCGATATTAATTTATTTATTTAATAGGACTATTTAAATTAAAGTAAGTTTCTGATGTGCATATTTCCGTGTTTTATGTGCATGCTTCGATCTGTGATTTAGTGTTTAAGTGAGAGCGGTCAGTGACACGGAGTCGGGCCGGGCCGCATTACGCCGGTAGGGATACCGGGAGCGCCGGTTGCGGTAGGGCGTGGTCGAACCTTGCTTTCAAATTGCATTAAAAATACAAGTGCAGTGATTTAATTAACGAGATTAGCATCTACTCGACTTCATGCAACCCTAGCTCAGCCCGTTTCCGTGACTCTGCATAAGCGGTAAAACGCCACATCCGCAAAAGGTTACAACGGATTTCTAGTTAGACATAACCTTATTTGGCCGCTGCAGCGCCATCGCCCACTGAGCGTGTAGCGTGGGTGACCTCAGCGAAGATTACCAATTATGGTTTACCTTATATTACTATAGATTTGGCAATAACTTATTAAAACAAAGTTTCGCAAATGATTCAATCGTAACTAGCTTTAAGTATGTAACAAAGTTTATAAGTATTTAATTGTTTTATGTATTTTCAGACTAATTCAAAATGTGCGACGAAGAAGTAGCCGCGTTGGTAGTGGACAATGGCTCCGGTATGTGCAAGGCCGGGTTCGCGGGAGACGATGCCCCTCGGGCCGTGTTCCCGTCGATCGTGGGCCGCCCTCGTCACCAGGGCGTCATGGTCGGTATGGGTCAGAAGGACTCGTACGTCGGCGACGAGGCGCAGAGCAAGAGAGGTATCCTCACTCTGAAGTACCCCATCGAGCACGGCATCGTCACTAACTGGGACGACATGGAGAAGATCTGGCACCACACCTTCTACAACGAGCTGCGTGTGGCCCCCGAAGAGCACCCCGTGCTGCTCACGGAGGCTCCCCTCAACCCTAAAGCCAACAGGTTCGTGCGCCCTCTACCGAGCTCTACAAGTTGGTTGTCTTCTATCTTTTATTAGTACAATGAGATGACCGTTCGTCTTGTATGTTACAGAGAGAAGATGACCCAGATCATGTTCGAGACGTTCAACACTCCCGCCATGTACGTGGCCATCCAGGCCGTGCTGTCCCTGTACGCCTCCGGTCGTACCACCGGTATCGTGCTGGACTCCGGGGACGGTGTGTCCCACACGGTGCCCATCTACGAGGGATACGCGCTGCCTCACGCCATCCTGCGTCTGGACTTGGCGGGCCGCGACCTCACCGACTACCTGATGAAGATCCTCACTGAGCGTGGCTACTCCTTCACCACCACGGCCGAGAGAGAAATCGTTCGTGACATCAAGGAGAAGCTGTGCTACGTCGCTCTCGACTTCGAGCAGGAAATGGCCACCGCTGCCTCCAGCAGCTCCCTCGAGAAGTCCTACGAGCTTCCCGACGGACAGGTCATCACCATCGGAAACGAACGATTCCGTTGCCCTGAGGCACTCTTCCAACCCTCATTCCTGGGTATGGAAGCATGCGGCATCCACGAAACCACTTACAACTCCATCATGAAGTGCGATGTCGACATCCGTAAGGACTTGTACGCCAACACAGTACTGTCCGGTGGTACCACCATGTACCCAGGCATCGCCGACCGTATGCAGAAGGAGATCACAGCCCTGGCGCCTTCAACCATGAAGATCAAGATCATCGCTCCCCCGGAGAGGAAATACTCCGTATGGATCGGAGGCTCCATCCTCGCGTCTCTGTCGACCTTCCAACAGATGTGGATCTCGAAGCAGGAGTACGACGAGTCCGGCCCCTCGATCGTGCACAGGAAGTGCTTCTAAATGCGCACAGGAAGCGCATCGCTGCCACCGGAAGCAGCCCGCGGCCCGGCCGGTCCCGCGGCCGGCTGCTCAACTCAGGCTTGTAATCTCCGTTATTTTAATTGTACGTAAGATATTATTATTATGTAATTAAATGGTAATAGTGACGGCAGGACGGAGCGCGGCGCCGCGGGCGCGCCTCGACCGCCGGCCTCGGTACTGCACTCGCCAAAGGATCTTTTTGTAATCTCATGAATGATGATTGTATGTGCTGAAACGGATAAGACTACTTTCTTACTAGGTCATTTATAAATTATAAAATAACAAAAATACAAGAAAAAAATCTGAAAAATTAACCAGTTTTTTCTTTATGCCAATTCCATCACCTAATCACCCAACCCTATTCAATATTGCAATGTTCTAGTACAACTAGGTCGTTGAACGGCATTGACCGCTGATCTAAAATAGAACTACAACTAACACCCAATAATATCAATGTTAGCTAACAGGAATAATATAGAAGTTACTCAATGGAATAAGTTAAGAAATGAATTAGGATGAATGAAAAAATTAAATGCTACTGTCACACAATGTATAGGTAGGTATGTAATTATTTCGCCCCAATTAGGTATTAACTATGAATTGGCTCCCATACATTGTCGACTAATAAAATTGTTACTAATTACTAAATAGCTAAACAGTATTAATATACATTTTAGAACGATGATACATTCCTAGCAATTACCTGGTATAGATTAAATACACCTAGTTTATTATTCTACTAACGTTGCTTCCTTTTATAAAAGTTAATAAACAGATATTGGAGAGTAAAATACAATAATATAATGGCAAGAAAAAACGATTATTTTATAGGTATTAGAAATATGAATTCTCAAATCTTAACAAAATATGCTGGGTATGTATGATGTTGATCTCGTTTGAATGCAAAGTATCAGAACAGTTTCGACGCTTTGGCGGGAAACGCTATGAAAATGGTTAGTTTTGTCGGAAGAAAAAGCATAAATCTAATCTTATTGCTGACGATTTCCTCTTATTAGCGAGAGTTTAAACAACATAAGTGTGTGAAAACTAAACAGGTATGAAGTTTTTAATTAGGTATGAGAAATAGTTTTAATCGTAGGAATATAATGTGTATAAACCCAGCACTACTTGATTTCATGTTGCATTTTGCCGCTGGTATTATTGCTCTCCATCTACTGGATAGACTAACAGAACCTTTAGGTTGTTAAAAAACGTATAAAAGTTAATATTTATTAAATGTTTTTACTTTTCATCACAGTCAATTCGACAAAGTGAAAAATTTACGTCCACGTATTAAACCAATTCATGTTAAATTTGATGAAGCATTTCTATACCAAAATGCAAGTTTTACCATCAAAGGAAATAAAATAATGAATGCTAATGTGCAGTCTTTAACAATAAGATTTTTGTATAAAGAAAGAAGGTTTTAAATTAGCAGTCAGCCCGAAATCTTTTGACAAAATTGCTAACGCATGACGTCAATTGTTCTTATTTGGTTAGCGAAGTGTTGACTGATGACCAAATACAATTAATTGCGTCATGACAACATTTATTTACAAAATGGATACAGGAAATCAAAAAATAGGTTGATATATTTTATGACTACAATTTTTCTCAGTTCTGAATTTTTTTCATTCTCATTAAATTAAAAAGGTTAAACATAATGTTCTATTTATTTAACGGATTTGTGTCCGCTTCATTGCACCTTGGTCGTTGGCATCTTTGATTAAATTAAATCACACCAAAAAAAGTTTTTTCTTTGTAGTACTAAAAATGTTGATGAAATCTATGCATAAGAGTAGAACACTACTTACTCTGGCTTCTCTGATATTGGACTCGAGTATTTAATTAAAAAATACATTATATGAGAGAAACGTCAATTTTCTTTTGATTTTTTTTATTTTTTAAAACATCACGAATAGTTTTCACATGATTGAAAGTATTGTACACTTAAAAAAGATTAGTTAATTAAAAAAAATATTCGTAGACACCAAGAGGCAGCGTCGATGTTGAGAATAAATACAACTTGAAGACATTAAGTCAAAGAAAATACAAATCATAAATAAATAATATTATAATTTAGCCGCCTTTGTCACAAAAAAGCATTAATAACTTATTGGGTTCTCTAAGGCACAATTAACTGCAGAGTTATAAAAAGCAACTATATTGAAGGCATCAAACAGAAAAAAACTAGAGTATTAGTGGTAACTTGTTAAGAAAACCTAAATGTTAAAAAGCAGAAAATAGATAAAACTAATATAAGTATATATATGATAATTTTGTTAAGGAATGTTCCAGACTTTCCCGATAATAATGTGATTGAAAGCTTTTAGTGCAGTTTGTGCATATTTTAAAACCTTAAAAACTAAAATCTAAAATATATTTAAGATTCACAAATTAGAAAGGACGTTGGGCTCCCTTACAGCTATATTAGTTTGAGACATTAAAAACACTTAAGTGTAAATTGGCATTAAATGTTTTAAAAACTAATTGGACTAGTTCCTTCATTTAACATAGTTAAAATTATCTACAAGGACCGACTATACATATGTTATCAACTTATATTAACATGCATATGATAAAGTCAAATTTATTGCTTTATGGACATTATCAAAAATAAAAATCTATTTTAGTCACTTTTAAATATTAGTATAGATTTTTTCTGTTAACAGTCTCTCAACAATCAATAGCCCGTGGTCCATGTATAACATGATATAGAAAAAGTTATATTCTAAAACTTAAATATCTATCAAGACTTATAATATAATTTTAAAACTTACATCAAAATATCTATAAAGTACTCAGAACAAGCGTATTCCAGTTATTGTGCGATTGTAATTGAGATATAAAATATGACATTTAACACTGGTATATAGATGACTTGAATTGCAATAAAATATATGTAAGGAACATAGATACTGATAATTTTGTACCAAAAAAAATTCATGATATAAAACACTTTTAATTGTGAAATAATAAATATATGTAATCAAGAATTTCATGAATTTATTAAAAAATATCATTACCTGCATACCTCACAATATTTATTGCACTAATCAAGTCACACTAAGACTCTAGTCAATATTTGTACTTCAGACCTATATTTAAAGTAAGGCCACATTTATTACTTCTATGAACACTTCAAGACTACTACTATTTAACGCTATATGTTGTCAGCTTGTCTAATGTTCGTCAATGGGTTGCCGTGAACTCTAAATCTATAAACACAAGTGTAAGTCGGGTTGCCGTGGTTGCTTTCGATTCTTAATTCTATAATGTCGTAAGCCACTGGATACTCGACGCCGCCTATGTCGGTTGTTTTTGGATATTTCACTGGGAAGTATTGTATGGAGGTGCCGTTAGCGTCGTACATGTAGTCACCGAATAGATGTGGTTCGGCATCCATTTCGTTGTGAAGACCCTGAAATAATATTTTGTTAGTATTACACACATTAAAGATTGAATACTACCCTTCCAGTATTAAAAACAAAAATAATTTTTGCCTTATTTGTACCACAAAAGCGTAATACTAAGTAACTTTGATAGTGATATTTGTGTTAGCTTACATATACGGAGAAGTTCTTTGGTGCGGATTCTATTTTCCCCTCAACAGCCAGCAACCTCGACATATGTTCCAAAGTGAAGCCAGTCACCTCGATCACGGCGTATGTACGGATCACTGAGAATAAAAGAAAATTGAAATGTAATAACACACTTGCACAAACATTTCTAAGAAGTTTGTTTTTATTTTTATAATAAACTAGAAGACCCGGCGAACTTCGTTTCGCCCTATAATCAAGAAATATCTGTTACGTTTTTTTATTTATATTTTTGGAGTTTACCTATTAAAGCCATAAATCTCCGTGTTTTGAAGTGATTAGGAATGATTAATAGTTAATATGAGAGTTACACTGAGCTAGCAAAATAATAATTGTCAACGTTACTACATACTACACTTGATGCACAAACAATAACGATGGCCGACAACTGTGTAGGTAGTGAGAGAAGTCTAATTGTGTGAGAGAAACAGAAGACCGGCTTCGTTCTCATCCCTACTCCGTGCTGTTTACTGGGTCAGAAGTGACACCTGTAGATATCTGGCGGGGATAACTTATTAAATGACGATTGATCAGTTATCGACCGGAGATGAAAAATGATTAAATTACTAAAATAGCTATTAAAAAATAAGGGTTGATCGTAGAAGGGTGAAAATTTAGGATTGTATGTATTTTTGTACGTTGTATCATAAAAAAATAGTAATTAAAAATTTTGTCTAAAAAATAAAAAAAAAAAAAATTAGGGGTGGACTACCCCTAACATTTAGGGGGATGAAAAATAGATGTTGACCGATTGTCATAGCTACCGAATAAGCACAAAAAATTTCATCAAAATCGGTCAGGTTGTTTCGGAGGAGTATGGGCACGAAAACTGTGACACGAGAATTTTATATATTAGATATATCGTTTGAGAGACTATAAGAAAACGATAAATTTATACTAATATTATAAAGCTGAAGAGTTTGTTTGTTTGTTTGACTGAAAGCGCTAATCTCTGAAACTACTGGTTCGAATTGAATAATTCTTTTCTGTTGGATAGTCCAGTTATCGAGGAAGGCTTTGGGCTATATAACATCACGCTACGACCAATAGGAGCAAAGATATAGTGGTAAATGTGTAAAAAACGGGAGAAATTATTTCATCTTTGAAGCCTTCCGTTGCGTGCGCCGTGAAAACGGTTCAAGATACACAAAAAATATGTATTAAAGAATAATAGCCCTTTTAATGATCTAAAAAACAGTCCGCGACAGTATATGTCTATCTTTTAAGATTAACTCACAAAAACTGTTTTTATGGTACCTAATTTGGTCGAAATAATTTGTTTAAGTTGTATCAACATAATAATATTAATCTTTATTCAAATAAACAAATAAATATGTTGTTGGTTAAGAGTACTTCATTGTGAATAAAAGAAAAACATAGGTTTTATCCTGAAAATTCTACGGGAACTCGACCATTCCGAAAACCCCGCAAGAACGGGAACTATGTGGGAAGGACTAAAAATCTGCCGGAAGTCACTATTCCACGCAGACGAAGTCGCGGCAAAAGCTAGTATAATATAAACGTTAGCACCTATTAACTTCTATATTATAATTTATAACGAGGAACTCTTCAAAGAGGATAGCTCTAACCAATAACTTTAAAGTTTTTAGTAGTTAATAAGTCACTAGGTTCAATTGTTCAATTACACACATAATATTAAAGAAATATAATTTGGTAGTTGAAAGGAGTAAAGTTAAAAAATTACAAAATCAAGTTCAGACACGACAGCCTAGTTGGCAAAAGTTATTGGAACGCTTTATAACAATGACCATAGGTTCGAATCTCGCTTAATCATATGATTTAAGCATTATTATAATTCAATAGTTCGATATTCTATTTAATTACCCAAATATCCGGGGAATCCTTGGAAGGCCCAACACTCCGCGGGCATAGCGCCGGGTGTCAGAGCATGTCTTGGTGAAGTGTGCACCCACCACACAGGGACACCCAGGATAGAGTACTGCTTAGTCTTGATCTGATACAGTTCTGTACACTTCGTAGATAGGATTTGACCACCTAGAGAGACGATATATCAGAATTGTTTATTTAAATTTCGAATTGTAACTGAATATTGATCATAGATGAAACAATATTGATAAACAGAATACAATAAGAGGTTTGTATCAAATGTAAATGTAACTGTATATGACTTAATATGTTTAAAACTTTTCTAATATCAAGAGCATTATATCAGTGCAACAAATATCTTTCTACTAGGTAGTGATAAACACCACTAACTACTTGAGGTATATAATATTTATATGAATAGTCCACGTTACCTGCTGATTCCAGAGCGTAGTCCACCTTGCCGGTCCTATCAGCGTCATACACCTGTAACATGCCCATCACCATATTCTTGACTTCCTCCAGGTCTATATTACTCGACTTCATAATTTGCCCCGACTCCACTTCTCTTACGTACTCCCTGATCTTCGCCACTATAACTTCCATTTGTTTCTTCTCAACATCATACAAGTATTCCTGGACTATTAGCCGTATTTTATCCTCATTCATCTCCGTCTGCCAGGAGTTTAATAATCTTTCGTGTATTTCCTGACTGATTAGTGAAATCTGTTCGTTCGAGACGTAGTTTCTATCGAAGTGACGTTTCAGTTTTTCGGCTATGGCGTCGCTGTTGACGTCATCGTTGAGAATCCTTATGAGATTTCGTTGTAAATGTTTAACCGAGTACTCCTCTATTTGGGTTTCTAAATTGTCGATTTTGGCTATTTTCTTATCGAAGTATCTCAAACGATTGTCTACATTTACCGCCCAATTCTCTAGAGCGGCGACTCTCTCGTTGATATTCGTATCTTGTGATATCTCCGGAGGCTTGTACGCGTCCACGGGAACGTTTTCCTTATACATCAAAACGTCCTTGTAGTTGTAATCTGTAACATATATATAATATTATCGTCTGTACATTTGTCCTTCCCGTATTTATTGTTTAGTTAGTATTACACAGAGCAGGGAAGGACAGAGAATCAATTTCATAGTAAAACAAAAGTGACTCACCTAAAAGTGTTGCGTGCCGCGACAACTTTCAATAGGTGACATTGCTCTATCCTTCCCTGAATTCATGATACGGGAAAGAAATGTTTGGAAATAAAAGAACTGATATATTTAATACCAAATTATTATTAATCAAAATAAATTAGTTATAATTAATATAATCTAAGCAAAATAATATGTATGTTTGATTAAACATTTGTGATTTTGTTATTACATTTAAATAAAATAAAATTTCTAAAATTTTCTTAATTATGTTACATATAATGGGTTATGTGACCATAAAGATAATAAGTAAAATTTACAGAGTATTAATTATTTTGTTAATATTTTAATTATACAATTTAAGACTAGTAATTTTGAACCAATGTTAAGAAAATGGCAAATAAAATAAAAAAAGGTACATTGTAATCACTCCAATTACTTAATATAACAATTATTCTTACAATTAAAGCATTAAAGAAATATAAAGCAATTAAATAAATAAAATACAATTTGTATTTCACTTTAAATCAACAACAATATATAATATGAAAATAGACTTCAATGAATAAATATGGAAAATAAATAAGAATATTTATTTAATATAAAAAATAAATTAAGTACGAATGTCAAGCACATCACTATGGTACCCATTTAAAAACTATTTCTAAATTTTAAAGCTCCCTTTTTGTTTGTTTTTAAATTTTGTATACTGGCCGAAACGAGATCCAAAGTTTATTGAATACAGACAAACTGCGACAGACAGACCAAAACTATATACCTATAAAAATATTCCCATAATAAATATTTATAACTTAACGCGAATTTATACTCAGAAGAGTGATGTCTTGAAGCAATGTTATAATAGTAGAGGCGGATTTTTATACTTATTTCTCAAGACAATGTTAATCATTATTATATTATCCAATAATTCCTCTATAGAATCTTCTTATTTCCTCCCAGCAGCTCTCGGCCACAGTCCCCATATACTCTGAAGCGTCAGCCATTCTATTCTGCATCACATCCCTGTACACTATGTATGTTTTCGTCATTTCCGGTATCTTCGCGATGGGTGACGTTATTTCCGGCAGAGTGAGATTGATCTTCATATCAGCCAGAGTAATATTCGGCAGGCTGATGTTAGCTATCTTGGCCGTGAATTCAGATAAATCTAAGTTGATATCGGTAAAGTTTGGTAACACTAGTGTTTCGTAGTTCTCATATGTGTAGTGCACTGAAAGGAATTCGTGTTAAATAATTAAGATATATTGTATACCTGTGAAAAAATCATTATCTATGTCTAAGAAAACTTCCCTATAATATTTACACCATGCCTTATATGTAAAATACTATTACCCTAATGTACCTACAAATAACAACGCATTATGTAGCTAAAAGTTACCTTGACACTATGGCTTATTTGTGTATTAACTTACCATGTACATTATAATCTTATATAATAATAATATATGAAGTGTATGTTGTATATACTCACAGCCGTATCCCATAGCAGGTAGCAGCAGTAAGGCGAGCCAGGGCCACCATCTTCGTTTGTTAACTTCATTGTATCGACTGCTGTATCTCTTGTTCTCTTCTCTTTTGTCCGGAGATATCTAAAAATATACACATAAGATATAAATAAACTTCAAATTTCACTAATTATCATAAGCGGCAGTTTTTAACTTAAGAAAATATTATTGCCTTTAATTAGTTATAAAATCTAATGTAATAAATGAAACTAATATTTTCGGATTTTTACTTCGCGTTTTTATTTTTGATTATGAACTACAAACTCCCGACGTTTCGGTTACTTTTCAACAACCGTGATCACGGGCAGACGAGATGTGAGTACACTCACATAATAATAATCAAAAATAAAAACGCGCAGTAAAAATCCGAAAATATTAGTTTTATTTAAATGAGTACTCGCGAAAATCTTAGATCTAATGTAATAATTTATTCTTTTCATATAAACGATTAGAAAAACTTGTATGTATAATTAATGTATTACTTTACTTAAATGAAACTAATAATTTTCGAATGTCCTAGGCGATTTTATTTTTTTATGAAAAACTACATACTTCCGACGTTTCGGTTACTTTACAGCAACCGTGATCACGGACTGACGAGACATTTCGTTTTTTGACAAAAATAAAAATCGCGTAGAAAATCCGAAAAATATTAGTTTCATTAATATGAATAGGTACTTGCGATAATCTAAGAATCTCATTATGTATTACTTTACATTTAGGTTCTCATACAAAATTGTTAAAATTTGTCTGTACTGAGATTACTATTAAAATAAACCTTTCATATATTTCTATCATATTATTATATAAATTGTATATAAATAATTCTTACGTTTTCAGTGATCGTAGTGACGGTAGTGGTAACGATAGTTTTTATAGTACTGAAGATCCAATAGAAAGGCGCCACGCTCGCTGTGGCCAGACGAGACACTACGCCAGCTGGAATTATTATCACAATTATAATACTACATAATTATGTATATTTAATTCTATGTAATTACACTTAATAACTACATAATAGTGGACACAGGAATACATTTCTGTTTTATATAGATACTAAAGGAAATTTGGTCTTAACGATATTATATGTAGTAAAAAAATATCATTCTACTTTTTATATATATAAATAATAAAATGCTAACAGAAAATCATTTACAGTTTGCCTTTATGTGATATTAACTTAACATGGAATTAATTTAGATCAAACAATTATAATTCCAGTACATTTTGAATTACTATCAATATTTAAGGAGAATACTCGGTACATGATTCTCATTCGAATTATGTAAAAAAAATAGGTACTTAATTTTTGACCAAATTTCCATATAAATAAATAAAGTGTGGACACGTTCCAAGTGTGGACGCGTGCGGCGGCGTGCTGATACAACACCACGCCGCGCACGATTGTGTGTGTGTGTATACCTAATCTGTAGGGTGTTCACACGATGCGTAATTAATTACATAACTTTTGGATAACTTTACTTAGAAGTTTATTAATATTTATGTTATATTAATTTTTATTTTGTCATATATGATCGTCAAATATCACGTCCTCAAGTATCGATAGTAATTCACCAGTCACCTGTATATGTAAACTAGAAGATCCGGCGAACTTCGTATCGCCCTATAATCAAGAAATATCTGTTACTTTTTTTTTATATTTTTGCAGTTTGCCTATTAAAGCCATAAACCTCCGTTTTTGAAGTGCGACAGAATGATTGACATATTAGTTAGTTGTCAAAAAAAAAACGTTTGTATCAACAACTACTAATAAATTAAAAATTAATTAAAAAAGCATTGTCCAGCGGACAAAATTGTGAATCTCAACAATTCCCAGATCCCCTTGAACACACACAAAAAATTTCATAAAAATCGGTCCAGTCGTTTGAGAGAAGTTCAGTGACATAAACAGTCACAGAAGAATTATATATACATATAAAGATACATAAGTGTAGTAAAAAAATATCATGCTAACAGAAAATCATTTACAGTTTGCTTATATGTGATATAAACTTTAAATGGAATTGATTTAGATAAAACAATATAATTCCAGTACATACATTTTATAATTAAATATATATATATGTTTGTTTTGCACACCTTTCGCGGGTCTCCTCTCAGTGTAAGGGTATCTGTGCGAGGGTCCAGCCACTTTTTTATAGCTGGTGGTGATTGTAGTGATGATGGTCGCCACTAATCTCGCCGGCCACCACTTCTGGTCTAAATCTGCTTTATGTACGTACGCGCCCTCGTCGTCCGAACTATCTATGGACTAAGATTCACATATTTAATATGATTAATGTTTATATTCAATTTCTTTACACTTAACACTAGTTTTCTTCGTCTAATAAGTAGTTACAACTTAGTTTTTATATAAATATGTATGAATGAAAAACCGAAACCTGTTCACATTAATGACAACTAATGTTAGGGTCTTTATATAGCTACAGTTGTTTCAGGAGAGATTTCTTAACTCAATTGGATTATAAAATGCTCACAAACATTTCAATACTATTTTTTTTTAATTACAAAATGCTTACAAAATTTAAATAGCATTTTCTCTACATACATATATTTCATAGTCGATTATTAATATAGTAGTATCATGTACGTATAATTTTTATTCAACATTTTTTTCCATATAGCGGTTATCTTATCATACATGTCGTTTGTTTGTTAGTATCATTACAATATATCTCACTAACCGTGTATCTCCTCGCCATAGTGCTAGTTTTCCATCCAGATGGTATGTCAGGTTCGTCCACAGTATTTGGTCCTTGGATTCTGAACTGTGATAATGACCTTCTGGACATGTTAGGTACCGCGACCTGCCCTGGAGCCAGCTCCACACGGTCCCGGGATAGAGGGGAGTATGTGTAATCCGTTTTGGGATACTTGCTGGAATTAATGGTATGTCATTATAATTATGAGGTAAAGTACGGACAATAGTTATCATTGACGGTTAAAATATAGTTAGTTACAGCTTAAAGTCGCTGAATATGTCAATTTCTTTCTATATACGTATTACCTTACTTTTATATAATTCAAATGAGAACAAAATGATATTTTTAATTAACGTGTGTTAGATACGATAATATTTGTATTAAAATGTCTAAGTCATACATGTTTCATATAGCAACAATCGGTATCGGTAAAATACATATCCTTAGAACGAGTTTTGCATGGTTACAGAACACACGTTTGTCGTTTAGATAACTCACATTAATACTATAATGTATTAAAAACTGTTAACGCTCCGTATTTCTTACGATGCAAACTGTTACTAAGCATACTGCTTACAAAACTCAAGACAGTTGACTTCTAACATTTTTCATTATAACAAAAAAATCACTCATAAACGTCCACATATTAAGATTTAGAAATCAAACACAAATATTTCTTTAATATAAAACATCTACCAGACCAAATGCGAGTACAGTGTAGATTGTTTGGCGAGAGTTTTGACATTTGCGGTACACGACACAAATATAGAACTAGATTTATTATCGCTTACTGCTTTAATTATAAACCTTACCACATTATAAATAAGGTCCAAATTATTGTTAAATAGTCGATAAGAATTTATTCTATGTTAAAATATGTACGATGTATAATGATTTTCTTATGTTTTGAACTTTTGTTTGATTTCAATTATAATAATATTGTATTAATGCTAATGCCAGGCTGGTTCTTTAAAGTAAAAATTTATATGTAATGGAATGAATGCGTTTTTGAGTTACAAATTCAAACAGCCTACCTCAATATTATCTCTTCTTCATACTGTTCCACATGTACTACTTTCACTACAGAATCCATTTTAATCATCAATTTTAAGTATATCAAATTCAATTATAGTCAATTTTAATTATTTAATATAAAATACTCGGTTTATTTCTGTTACGTATATCTTTTCTATGTACCCACATTTTTGATATACACTTTGACGTGATCGTTTTGAAATAATTCACGTGTCGAATACATTTAGTTTTTGAACTGACAAAAAAAATATTTTTGAACGAAATTGTAGAATTTTGTCAAAAAATCAATAACCTTAACTAAAAAAAAAAACTTAATCTGTTTATTTGTTTTTATATGGAAGTTATAATTATGTATCACTAGAAATAAATTAAGGATTACTATCAGCCTTATACATATGTAATTGAACGTTCATTTTGACAAGTCAAGATGTGAAATTCTTTGTCACGTTCTCATTTCTTTTATTAAGTGCCAACTCTCAAGGTCAGTAGGTTTTTTTATTGATAAGACTACAAAATGAATTAAAGTCACGGTCGACAGGTTGTCGAGCATCTGCCGAATAAAGTATGCGGTATTGTAAATATTTTTTTAATTCTTCAAATATTTTTTGTATTATTAATTGTCTGGCCTAGATCGCGTACGTTGACTCGGTTTTGCCTATTGTATTTAATGTTTGAGATTACCTACACTAACATTGGCTGTATTTTTAATGCAATACTGTCTACAAAAAAAAACATTGTTTGCTATTCGAGATGCAATCCTCTTTATATAACACTAGCTTTCCGCCCGCAGCTTCGCCCGCGTGGAGTTCGTTTATATCGCGTTTCCAGAAAACCTTTCAAACGTCTGGGATAAAAACTATTCTATGTTCTTTCTCATGGTCAACTCTATGTCTGTACCAAAGTTCATTAAAATCAGTTCAGTGGTTTAGGCTTGAAAGCGTAACAGACAGACAGAGTTACTTTCGCATTTATAATATTAGTAGGGATTAAAAATCTAAATGTCACTGACTTCCAATACTCGCCGGCCATTTTGTATAGCTTGTAGGGCAGGTGTTGAGCGTTTGGGTCCCGGTCTAGTAGGGCGCTGGCATCAGCTAAGGCTTGCTCAGCGAACGAGCTGTCTGTAGAACAAGCACTGACCGCTGGACTGCTGTAGCGCGTCGACCTTCACATAAATACAACAATTAAATTCTCTTTACATTAACAACAATTAAATACTCTTATAATGAGATTTAAGACTATCGCGAGTATTTATTTATATGAAACTAATATTTTTCGGATATACTATGAACATCTTGTCTGTACGTGATAACGATAATATAACCAAGACGTCGACAGTATGTAGTTTTTATAATAATAAAATACGAATAGTAAATCCGAAAAACATTAGCTTCATTTTAATCTTCTCTTATAGTTTAAGTTAATTTAGAAAATGTCAATCACTGTAATAGTTAATTGAAGTAACTTGTACGTATGTATTAGTGTAATAAAATTTGACGAACTATTTTAATTTTTTGTAACATTAGTTTTAATTAATATTTAGATTTGTGTGATGTATAATTTAAAAAAGGAGAAAATAATTTATTTCGCATATAAAGTGAATTGTGTTCAGCTGTTTAAACTTCGTTAATTTTGTCAATATAAAACACATGTTCGATACATTTATAATAATAAAACTTACGTATTTTGTATGATAAAACAATTGAATAAATGCAAGATAATAAATAAAATGTATTTAGTACATATAAATAATGATATTAGAATTTTAACACATTCTTTTACATTTATTTTAATCCATACATATACAGGGTGACTGGTGAATTACTATCGATACTTGAGGACGTGATATTTGACGATCATATATGACAAAATAAAAATTAATATAACATAAATATTAATAAAATTCTAAGTAAAGTTAACCAAAAGTTATGTAATTAATTATGCATCGTGTGAACACCCTACAGATTAGGTATACACATACACACACATACGCGTGCGGCGGCGTTGTGTTGTATCAGCACGCCGCCGCACGCGTCCACACTTGGAACACTTGGAACGTGTCAACACTTTATTTATTTATACGGAAATTTTGTCAAAAATTAAGTACCTATTTTTTTACATAATTCGAATGAGAATCATGTACCGAGTATTCTCCTTAAATATTGATAGTAATTCACCAGTCACCCTGTATAAAAAAGGAATTCATGTTAGTTACACTATTTATAACTGGAGAAAGACTTTATGGATTTCACTGAAAATTAGTGAGGAGGTAGGATAGAACCAGGAGACTGACAGGAATTTACATTTCGTTGGATCGAAAAAGAAATATACAGGGTGACTGGTGAATTACTATCAATATTTAAGGAGCATACTCGGTACATGATTCTCATTCGAATTATGTAAAAAAAATAGGTACTTAATTTTTGACCAAATTTCCGTATAAATAAATAAAGTGTTGACACGTTCCAAGTGTTCCAAGTGTGGAAGCGTGCGGCGGCGTGCTGATACTAAACCACGCCCCCGCCGCGTGTGTGTGAGTGTATGTGTATACCTAATCTGTAGGGTGTTCATACGATGCGTAATTAATTACACAACTTTTGGTTAACTTTACTTAGAAGTTTATTAATATTTATGTTATATTAATTTTTATTTTGTCATATATGATCGTCAAATATCACGTCCTCAAATATCGATAGTAATTCACCAGTCACCCTGTATATAATAAAATATGCTTGTCTACTTCCTGTTAATTGAAACAGAATTCGCTCGGTCGCAAACTTAGGCAGACAAAGTCGCAAAACATAGTTGTATAATATGCTAGTCTTTCAATGGATTTATAAAAATTCTTAAAATAATTCCGTCGCTTAAGTATCCTTCGTAAATTATTTAACACTGAAGTAGTGGATCATCATTTTACGATGCTACCTCGTCATATCATGCTGAAGCATTGATATTTTGCATCCCTAGGACGACATAGCATCGTAAAACTAAAAACAAACATTTTCAAGTTTTTCATTAACATATCTTCGTATTTACTCGTATGTATTTGGAACTCCTACCCTTATATTTACTAGTGTTGACTATTTTTGTGCCAAAAATTATGCAACATTTCTTTATTAGTGTTTAATTTCTAAGGTCAATGTATTATGATAAAATTTGTATAGCGCTTAATCTGCGTCTTTACATTTCTTATTACTCAATATATTTTATTATGACGAGACAAAATTATTACTACACTTTATTATTTCAGCTCTAGTTTAATCTAGAAATCTTGTTAAATAAAATTCTCATGTCTCAAATCTCAATGTTCGTTCCCGTCCTCTTTCGAATCGGCTTAACCCATTCTCATGAAATTTTGTGAGCATATTGAGTAGGTCTGAGAATCGGCCATCATTTATTTTTCATACTCCTAAGTGATAGGGGTAGTCCCCTAAATTTTTATTTTTAAATCTGGACGAAAGGTTTTGATTTTTTTTTATCATATGGCGTAAGAAAATACATACAACCCTATATTTTTACTTTTTTATCACCAACCCTTACTGTTGATATGGCAAAACAACGTTTGCCGGGTCAGCTAGTATATGTATTATGTATATTATTTCAAAATTAGATTTATTAAATAGTACAGGCCTTTAATTTTTTTATATTTGCTATTACTATATTCAAACACTTGATTTTTTTGTTTATTCATTCAATGGAACACCAGTTGACGTAATCACTAAATTATGTTCGTCCAAAAAATATATTCATCCAACTATGAAAATGACGTCACTAGCTAAAAAGAATGAATAAAAACTTGCAACATTCAACATGTCAAATAAACGCGCGAAAAAATAAAAATAAAAATATAATATGTAAACATTACTTAAAAGAATGTCTACTGTTTTATATTTTTTAGAGTTACAGTAAAATAAAATTGAGCAGTTAAATGAGAAATTCAGTAAAATATTTTATGTTAAAAGACATAAGGGTTAATTTAAAGTCTATTTTTTGTAGTTTATATAATATATTTAGCTGTTAGTAGTCTTATTTAATTTTATGCCAATCTTTCTTTGTTTCATACGTTCTTTTCATAATCAAATTTAATACCATAGTTTGGTATGTCTTGCTTATTGCTAATGATTACTAAGCAGTTTTTACTTCGATGAATTCGGTATGCTAATTAAAACTGTTAGCGCTGTAAAAACAAGAAGTGTGTATACTCGTATTATTTGAATTTAATGTCGGCTGTATGACTTTCAACCTATAATATATTTTTTATTGTCTATGATAGCTCACGGGTTGGCGGGAAAACGCCCGTCACTGCTGTGTGAAAGCAATAATTATGAGAATTTTATAATCAGCCATTGACCACAACACACAGTGACTTCTTCAATTTCACTTTGTAAGTAACAATATAAAAATTACATTCACTTCAAAAAGATGAGACTATTTATAATACCCGACAAAAAGACAGGTGTTTTAAGTTTGTCGTCGATGTCTGTGTGTAATGTGAGGCATTGTAGCTCTCAAAGAAATATATTGTTTTTGTTGCGCTTTTATTCGTTTGGAAGTCAGTTTCTGGAAAATTCTTAAACTTTTCATTCAATATCGGTCCAGCAATGTAAGAGTGTCAGCTCTTTACCAAAACGATTTTATATATTTTTGGCGTAGTGATTACTGGATTGAGTACTTAACGTGTGATAGTAAAATCGTGTCAAATAATCCGTAGGTTTCTTTAGATCTCACAAAATACTTAAATAAGTATTTGAGGTGCGTTATACGACCACAAGTATATTCTCAAGGTATAATTCAAGTGATCGTACATAAAGGCTATTGGAAAGCTATAAGAACCTATATTTCATCAACATAGCTGAAATATTTGATATTGATTATCTGTTAAGAATAAAATTAAAAAAAGTAGAAACTATGGTTCACTTTAAATAGTAGCATAATAAATAATAATTTATCTTTATAAATTAATTTCATTCATAAAAATATTATTTTTTATTATATGTTTGTTTCAACAATGTATTATAATATGGGTATTCGAAATTAATTTCCTTTGACATTTTACAACTCATCATAGGTATTTCTTTCCCAAATTTTAATCAGTTATATTTCATATAGAAAATTCAACAAAAATTTTCCAGTCACTGAAGCTCATACAAACAACAGGAAACTATTCGTATGTTTTAAGTACACATAAAAATATTACGATACAAAACAAAGCGAGACAGTGCGGAGGACGTTCCAAATATATGATTCTTAATATGTTTCATAACCATTATACATATACACCCACCTGTCTTGCGTCACATTCTGTGACGTGAGTATCGGACTGAGTGTGACGTCAGCAAGCGTCGCGTACCGCTGAGAACTTGTCGACACGCGCTCATACTGACTGTTGATCTCGTTCTAATAACAAAAATTATAACATCAATTAAATTTATATCAGTTGGATAATAATATTCGGTCCAACGAAACAAGATAAATAATGTAAACAATACAACGTATTTATCCTTAGAAAAGTACCATATAAAATAATTTCACGCTGACATAACTATACAAAACATTCTAAAATATAAAAAATTCGGCAGAATAATGACGTCATATTATACGAGAAACTATTGTACCGCTAATTGAATCGCGAAGCAAGCGATCCGTGAACCAATGATTCATTGTATTGTGATAAAAAAGCCTTAGTAATAATGATCTATATTTAGCATCTATGTAGTTACGACAGTTTTGTAACAGTGTGAAGGGCTTGCATAGAATTGCAGGAAATATTTTTTTATTATCAAACCAGTAACAAATCAATATAAATAAATATGTCATTTAAACCTCTATGCTCGTTAATTATATTTAATCTAATCCTACTTCAACAACATAATATTAAAGGACGATATTAAAATTAATATTTTTATGTATAAACATTATTATCAGTATAATTATGTATACGTTAATAATAATTATTCTGTACAAGACCTACGGAACACTTGACTTAAAATATCAAACCTATACGTGCGAAGTTCTTTAACAAAATATTTTAACAAATTGAACTAACCTTCGCCATTAAATTTGTTACACGCTCACGTTAAACAAAGAGCGAATGCTATCTTTCACTCATCGCCATAGAAACAAAATAGGACGTACCTCACATAGAAATCCACGGCGACTATATATAACTATACATAAGACGAAACAACGGAACTGGGTCAAGACTGATGATTGAGGACGATTAGGTATTATTCAACTACAACGCGTCTGGTTAGAACAGAACTTACAAATAATAATGACCATATGCGACCAACGGTTCATACGAAAATAGACCGCAGCGGGAGTGTATCGGTTATATTTGGATTTATTATGATAATAATTATCCTTAAGTATTTTCCTGTACGACTTACTACATAATACATAATGGCATCGCTAATAATAATTTCAAATATAACCTCTTTGCTGAGACAGCAATGCTATTAAATTGAATTAAAAAAAACCAACTACATATCCAAATACTTTATGAATTATTTATGTATAAAATATATGTATAAAACCTTTTTGCATATATCATTGTAATAAAATAATAAATGATAAAAAAAATGCTGGCCGTTTATAAATGACCGTTACAATTTAAAATGAAAAGCTTGTTATGGTAACATTGAGGAAGGAAGGGGCTTGTTAAGCGCGGGCGTAGATGGGATAAGATTGTTATTTATGGTACATTATAATTGTTATTCAATTAATGCTAGCTCTAGCGGGTTGAACGAACCGGTACTATTTGGATTACTTGAAATATAAATGCACGTACACCTGCGAGTGTTATGGGAATAACATATACATACATTTGTTTTCCTTTACATATATAGCATAGAACAGCGCCATTGTTATTAAAACGTGTTTTGTTTTGTGTTGAAATTATTTGTCGTTAGGACTTAATCCCTACTAATATTATAAATGCGAAAGTAACTCTGTCTGTCTGTCTGTCTGCTACGCTTTCACGCCTAAACCACTGAACTGATTTTAATGAAATTCGGTACAGAGATAGAGTTGACCTTGAGAAAGAACATAGGATAGTTTTTATCCCAGACTTTTGAAAGGTTCTCTTGGAAACGCGATATAACCGAACTCCACGCGGCGAAGCTGCGGGCGGAAAGCTAGTAACAATATATACGTGATAAATTCGAATATATATAACAATTTATTAATTTTTCTTACGGACTCTATGTTAAAAACTTAAAAAGATAGAAATAAATAAAAAGATGTATAATAATCTTATAATAAATAAAATCTACAGTTCCGCATTCAGATAAAATATCTTAGACTTTTGATAATTATCTAAAAAAAAATATCGCAATATCTTCATTTAGTTATTAAAGATTGAAGAAATTAAGATTTTAATTTTCATTACGTGTTCCTTGATTTTTTTTTCTTAAAAACTATTAATATACCAAAAATAACATAAAAACGCGAGTATGTTTTACGTATGCTATAATTTAGCCGTTAGTAAGAGTTTTGACATAGGAAATAAAATTATTAGAATTCCATACGTATCTAGATATCTAAGAGTAATATTAATGAAGAAACTACGTGATAATATCATATACAAGTATTGTATGAATGTATAAACATAAATTCCTTCGAGCACGTTGCATGCACGCGGTACTACGACCTTGAAGTACAAGGAGATAGCGTTGTATGAGTAAACGGTTGATTAACATGCCGACTATGAATTAATTTATGCAGCCAATATATTATTTAGGACAACCCTACCATAAGAATTGGAATTTTATTTATTTTGATCGAAAGTAGCATTTTTCGTATGTACTACGCGATTCAAAAACTACATACTCCCGACGTTTCGGCTACTTTACAGCAACCGTGATCACGGGAACGATATTTAAATGAATACTCGCGAAAATCTTAGATCTAATTATTGATTTTGTTTAAGTATCCGTTTTTTATAACATTTCACTTACATAGAAATTATCATATAAGTTAAGAAACCTTATATGTATGGTATTAAATAAGTACTTATTGGATTTTCATTAAATCCAAACTATACCTAAATTAGACTATTTAAGAAAGAAGCTATTTAACCTAAAGAGATGTATAAAAATATATTTAAGTATAATGAAGTTATTTATAAACAAAATAGATTGAGAATCTCAATAACTATTTAAATCTATAAGTTAGATAGCATTAATGAATAAATTACATTCTTTGTTTCATTCATTCATTTTGCAATGAATGAGTATAATCTACTTTATCTGTTCTCTATAAAGATGATTAAAAATAAAAAGTTAGAAATATCCTAGCATTTAAGTCATAGAACAGATTAAAATTATAATTGATATTGGCATTATACAAAAATATATATCCAAGAAAAATGATGTAAAAAAATATGTAAGATTTAAATAATACTTTTTCAATTAAATTATACGATTCTTTAATTGATATCCTTACCTGATATATTTCCTTTCGGTTTCCCTTCAATCTATCAGGACTCTCTTCTGATGAATAATCGGATGTCTTTATAAGTTTCTCCATTTGCCTAGTCGACTGTCGGGTTCGGTAAGTATGTGGACTCTCGTCTATGCTTTCCTGGACTGCTTCAATTTTATTCACATTATGCATCTGTCTGCAAGAATTGCATAGTAAAATTAACATGAGATAAATATGAAATTGTACTAAAACTTTGACCTTGTAATAATGTTTTAATTTTGTTGTATTCTTTGATAATAGTTAGTTTTTAAATCACTAATGTTAAGATTTAAAACATTAAATACCATATGGCAATGATTTGCTAAGTGTTAAACCTCTAATGTATGTAAACACAGAAATTTTAAGGTGAACACCATGTGTAACCTTGCTATAAAGGCCATAGAACATACCCATGATGTTGAATAATATTTTGTTAGTTCATAACATTAATGAATTGGCTGGCTTTCATTTTATTTTATCCATATGAAAACATTATGTTCTAAAATTAAATTAAATTAGCAATGATAATTGTTTCTTGTCTACTTGAATATGTTAAATAAAATCACTCATTATAGCATTTTATTTACTTAGTTTAATGTTATCAGTGTTGTCAAAAATTTCAGTGATTTGTAAAACTTATCTGATATAAAAAGATTATATTGTAAAATTTTAGTTTTTTATTATTTTTAGTTGTAATATTTTATGGAGTAATTATAGGTGTACGTGATGAATGCTTACTTGATTGGGGTGCTCCTTTTAATGGGTGTCTTCCTACCGGATACATGGCTATGTTCTTCTCCCTCCGTGCAGTTTTCCCGATCGCAACTGGATCGCAAAAACGGTGTTTTGGATCTGGATCTTGATCGCAATCCACTGATCGTAGGGTTCTCCATATCGAAATGTTAACAATCTCTCTTGTCTAATGGCTCATGCTTAATAACACCCAGGAATATTACAGCCTTGGCTTCTTTCATAAAACAAATATTAGTCAAGGACTAGAACATGCTTAATATTGCACAAGCGATCTATTTCTGTGGCTTTGAGCAATGCCGCCAAAATCTATCGTTACGTATCGCCTTACTTGTGTACCCTATATTTTTATACAAGCATGCAATGTCATGCGTTGGAGTAAATTGTAAATAGCACTATGATCACTGTACATTTCGCAAACATGAAAAAGAGAGGAACTAAAATTTTAGTTAACTTCGTATCATTTCAATCCCTAAACATAAACTGTGTTGAGTGATGACGTCACTTTAAAAAGACGTTACGAATGTTGCTACACTGATGAATATACATTATACAATTAAATTAAAGCACTATTTTTTTAAAGTTGGGGTGTTGTTGTTAATTTCAGAAAATAGTAAGAAATAACGGCTGATATATTTAAACGTTTTTAATTAGATCATAAATTGAGAAAAATAAATTGCCTTGGGAAAAATAAAACTAAATTTCAATTCTTATAAGTTAGTTTCAACCTAAGATTCTGTTTGAATCAGCCATTATGTTATTTTTGTCACCTGTTTTGTTTACATATAATTTCCTAGGAAATATTTCTGTAAACATTTATGTCCGTCATAGACAAGTTAACTCGTTATAGACTACAATGTTATCAATTGTTAGTCATCAAAATTCAAACGCACTACGCAGTTCGGAAAAGTTCTATCTTTTCAACTGGTTTTATTTTATCTTAAACTTATGCCTAAACTTCTAGTTGAAATTCTTGTTTAGTGTTTGTTTCAGCTTTTGTTTATTATACATAATATGTAATAAAAAACGCCATAACATCACAATATACATAGAACACTTTACTGACTTTTAAAAGAGCGGGATATTTCAATAACCGACAATTAAAGTTTCATGTAAACTTTGTATTTTTATTATATATTATACAAAAGAAGAGATGGATTCGAATGATGTTTTTAAAAAAATTAAAGAATTTGGTCAGTCTCTAAGTAACCGGGAAAAACTGATTAAATATTGTAATTCGGAAATAAATGCGGTAAATCTAACAAATATTATTATCTATCTTTTACTTAGTTATTATCAATATTAGATACACAAATATTTTGTTTCCATCATCAGATACTGAAAGTTTTACCAAGAGCAATTCTAAGTACGGATGGAGCACAAGTTTTGGATTTAATTTTAAAAGGTCTATCTGGAAATGCAGAGAAAAAGTGCCAGGTAAATAACAGGATCAGTAAAAATATTAATTATAAATAATCTTATATATGTTTATTTTATTTAAATATCACTATTTCTAGGTTATAAATATAGTTCTAAAGACGATTAGAGAGCAATCAATGACAGAAACTTATTGGGGAGATCTTGTAAGCAGATTATCCCTGGAATTATCAAAGCTGCCTATTGAAAATTTGTTGAAGTGGAGCAGTGATAGTGTACAAACAATAATAGATGATAGCGATGTAAATATGATGTGAGTGGACAAATTACTATACAAATGACCACTGTTATAATTTAGAATAAATATAGATTCTTATCTTTGATATTAATAGCTGAATATGATCAAACTTATAAGAACCATTAAAATTATGTTATATTCAATACATTTTTCACAATTATTTCAGCTGGGGAGACATATTACCAGAGTGTCTTAATATAATATGCACATATCCGAGCATCAGGCACTGTGGTACAGTAATGTCAGGAGTCGAGTACAAGATCCAGTGCATCCAAGGATTATGTCAGTGTACATGGAGGGAAAAACAGCTCATACAATTGACATCCATGTTCAAGTTAGTGTTATTTAATTTATGTAGCCATAATCATTATAGAAAATATTTTTTGATATTGCATAATACTTAGTAGTTATTACTATCAATGTCACTTTAATATAAGTTACTTTCAAGATCTGCAATAGTTCTAAATATTGGGACCAGTTGTCAATAGCAGCAGTACTTACATATTGCAAGTATAAGTCTTACTATAACTCATCATAGATCCAGTTAATTATCATCAGAAGATCACAACTTGATGACACCTAGTATTGGGCTTTGATTAAGTTTGAATATCCATTTTTAACCCATAGACCTATATCAAATTTTTGTATCGCTTTCAATACTTTTCTTTCTCTCAATCTTAATTTAACTATTTTTAGTATATTATACATGCAACTTAAACAAACCTGGACTTATAGTTTCACAATTATAAGTTTGAAATCACCAACCCGTCCTGAGCAAGCGTGGTGATTAATGCTCAAACCTTCTCCATGTGAGAGAGACCTTTGCTCAGCAGTGGGTGCTGATAGGCTGATGACGATACATGCAAAAACTATATAAAACAAGTTCTATTCTTCTTGTAATAACTTGAATATTTTTTCTGTTCCAGAGATATTCAACTATCAAAAGAAAATCATAAGCAAGTGGTGAACAAGATTTGTTCCTACATGGACAATCTACCTACGGACACTCTGCCGCCACTGGTTCATCATCTACTTAAGTATTGACTATACTATTTTAGAGAGATTGTGACAAATTTATAGAGTCAAAATGACACAGCTGTTAAAACTATACCAATATAGCAGTAGGTTAATAGATGTTTTAAGAGAATCATTAGGCCAGGTTTACATAATTTTAGTTAAGGCCATTTCGTTTTTTGTGTTGTGTTTTGTTATCATTTACTTTGTAAAACATTTTGAGATAAACATTTATATTATGGACAAATAATGAATTATTATAATTTTCCAGACTATGCAAGCAGCAACACTTAGAAATAGTTCTGTGCCACTTGAGTCATTACTTCAACAAGCTGTATGCTAAACTGCAACCACCAGCCCAGGATTCCGAGGCCACTACAATGGATGTTGAAGATATAGGTTAATTTTTTTAAACTATTTAGTATCCAACCACATTTATGTCACCTAAGTTTTCCTTCATAACAGTACCTTAAAACTGATTAATAGTTACTAATTATTAATTAATAATACTCATATGGTATACATACCGTCGGAAATAGTGCAAAACTGCGTAACTAGCATTGGATAATTCAGCATATCTTCATTGGCAGCAGATTATCAGAAGAAAGTTTAAGCTGAAATATTTTCTATATTAACGAGTTTAATTTATTACCAATTGGAAAGAAATTACCTTAAAAATCATTAATTTATATTACAGCTTAACTTTCTGATAATCTGCTTCAAATGCAGATACTCTGAATTATCTAATGCTAAGTACTCGGTTATATGTGTAAGTTTGTATTGGTTTATTTTCTCCAATAAAATAAGTTTTTGTTATCAGTTCTACACAGTGAGGATGAACTGAGGCGCTGCCAGTCTACATGCTTGTACCACTTGTCTCAAGGAGTGGCTGATCCCGAGTTAATAAGAAAGCATATCAAGCAATGGCCTAAAATACAACTGTTTAGAGATCCATTCCTTATCAATGTGGCTCTCGCCGTGTCTGATAAGGGAGCAGATTTCACCTCCGTCTGTTTAGATGTATGTCAATAATTTTATATGATACTAGAAGACCCGGCGAACTTCGTATCGCCCTATAATCAAGAAATATCTATTACGTTTTTTTATTTATATTTTTGGAGTTTACCTGTAAGCCATAAATCTCCGTGTTTTGAAGTGCGACAGAATGATTGACATATTAGTTAGTTGTCAAATCTAATGTCAAAAAAAACCTTTGTATGGGAAATAGAAAAGGGCTGTTTTTATGGTTTTCCCGGCAATTATTCTAATTTTTCTCACTTTTTAAACCTTCCCTGGACTTCCAGGAGTATTTCAAGACTAAAGTTAGCCAAATCGGTTCAGCGGTTCTCGAGTATTAGCGAGACTAAGGAACAGCAATCCATTTTTATATATATAGAAGATAATCTCCTTAATATAAAGTATTTAGACATCACTGATTAATGTTGATTCCCAAAAGAGGGTTGATGTCAGGCAGGCGGCCGGTCGTAAAAACGAATAGCCAAAACTATTCACAACATGTAAGGCAGACCCTGGCTATAGCTGGTAAATTGCCAAGTAGAAGAAGAATCTCTTTATTATATAATATATATCAAAGTTATTTGTAGGTAATCAAAACAGCCATAGAGTTGACACTTCAAGATGAGCTCAGAAGAAAAGAATCAGCGTGGGCCAGTTCTGTACTACCATCAGATTATGACGTCGCCAGTGTATTGAAAGCACTTGTCACTGAAAGGTAAACATTAAGGCTTGTACCATAGGAGTTATATTGCATTCTCACATAGTGAAACAATAGTTACATGCAATGTTTTATCATATGACTCCATTACAAATATTTGGAATAAAGCGCTTTATGTATGATTGCTACCACTTGACAGTAATCATATTGTACTCGCCCTATCATTTCCATAATCTTAATAGTCTCACTATGAAAACGTTTACATACTTCATCATTATTAATTTTGAGATTATGTGGAAAAATGTTAATACAAAAATTTTAGATCTTTTTATTACCTACAACTTTGCCATATAATTTTTTTCCGTAGGACTTTTAGTTTAGTCGGAATTCGAGAGAACCCATTTTTTACCCTTAAATACCCTTCCCGACCTTAGATCGCCCGTAAATTATTTTTCCTTTAATTTTTACAATATTTTTCTTTTCAAATGGGTTTCATGCTATTTTTTTTCACTTTCCATTATTTTAAAGGCTTCTACACTAGCCTATATGTTTAATATTATTTCAGTACAAATCACCGTCAGATGACCGTACTAGGTCTCATCAACCTAGCCTTCTCGACCTTAGATCGCCCGTAAATTATTTTTCCTTTAATTTTTACAATATTTTCCTTTTCAAATGGGTTTCATGATATTTTTTTTCACTTTTCATTAATTTTAAAGGCTTCTACACTGGCCTATATTATATCTTTACTATTATTTCAGTACAAATCACCGTCAGATGACCGTACTAGGTCTCATCAACCTAGCCTTCTCACTGCTGTCAGTGTACCGCCTCAAGCCCACAGCGCCCCAGTGTTGGGCCCTCGGTCAGATGCTGCTCGTCAAACTGGCCAAGACCCAACCGGAAACAGCTTCACACATCCTGAGCCAACTCGCTGATAAACTATTTGGAGATGCCACACAGAATCAATATTCAGGTTTGTATTGTACACAGTCTTCTACCAGACAATTTCCCAGCTGTAGCCAGGGTCTGCCTTACATGTTGTGAATAGTTTTGGGTATTTGTTCTTACGACCGGCCGCCTGTCTAACATCAACCCTCTTTTGGGAGTCAACATTAATCAGTGATGTCTAAATAGTCTTAGAAAGTACATATGACTCGGAAAAATCCTATTGGTACTTTTTGCCTGGGCCAGGATCGAACCCGCGCCCTCGGCAACGAGAGGCGGTCTCTTTAACCACTAGGCCACCACAGTATTTAATGAATATATTCTATATGTTTAGAAGAAAAAATTACGTAATTTCAATGCTATATCGTCTGAAATGAGTATTTCCGACATCACGTTTTTTGATTAAAAATCCTATTGTAACTTATTGGAGTATTTAGGGTCATAAATAGTATAACACCTTGAAAGCGCTTATACCAGAATGTTCTACACAAGAGGCATAGGGGGATAAAAACTTTGGGTTCTGAAAATGTGGCACAAACTGACGAGGATGAGGAAAAGTGTTTAATAAGTTTCTAAGTCGTGTCACTAATTTTTGGATGGTCCTTATATGGAAGAACTAAAACAGATTTATAGCTTGTTTTTTACCTGGTTTATTTTGTAATAATTCAATATAAAATACATTTGTTATGCGTAAACATCACCTTTATCTTCATTAAGCCGATCATCAGTGATTCACGATACGATGTAGCCGATTCTGATGGGTTCAGGACGGAATATGGCCGATTACTAATAAAAACTCACTTCCTTCCATATATAATTCTTCCACCATACTTTAAAACTCACTCGTAAGCACGTCGCTAAACTTAGTTTAAATATGTCTGTTTCCAAGATTTAATGATCTTTGGGCTCTCTAATAATTTATCATGGAGGCCAAAATTTCCAGAACAGAAAAGAATTTATACGTTTTTCTATAAACAGAATCATATCTTCTTTTCTCATTAGCGTGCGAGCCACAATTGAAACCGTATAAATAGATCACGACAAATATTTTGAAAATTCTTCATTTTGTTTCCGGAAATATGTCAAAGAAAAAACAAATAAATAACCAAGTTCGATAAACGAATACATAAATATTTAAAATATATTTGAATTTGAAATTCATTTTATTTTAAACAATGTGGCCAGTAGTAAAAATATATTTGTATTCAACCTATATAGTTAAACAATTTTTTAACAAAAGCTTTTAAAAAGTTTAAAAATCCGACGACTATCTTCCCATCCTAATTAATAAAAAAAATATTAATTATACCTATATACATATATATTTACGTAAACTGTAAAAAATGTATCTATGTAATGACCCGTCGGTCACAGCCTTGCCTTGCCAATAAGAAAATGTTCAAGACTTTTTCTACGAAGCTGTTTTCATTTCAATTTGTGGTTTCTTCAAATTTCTCTTTATCACCACTCAGAGGCCAAGAATCAAATATATACACATATATGTATATGATGGTTGTATATATTTATATTTTTTCAATTCACAGAATGTCTATACATACTGTGCAAGCAGGCGCCGGTAGTGATTGAGCGATGTCCTCAAATAGTCCTGATAGTGGAAGGCTGTCAAGGTCCAGACGCCGTGAAGACCTTCGAAGCCTTAAAGCCTTTGTTACCATTTAGTGAGAGAACAAGAGATACACTGCTTAAAGTGTGCAGGAAACATCTATACTCCGGGTAATATGAGAAAGAGTTATACAGGGTGACTGGTGAATTACTATCGATATTTGAGGACGTGATATTTGACGATCATATATGACAAAATAAAAATTAATATAACATAAATATTAATAAACTTCTAAGTAAAGTTAACCGAAAGTTGTGTAATTAATTACGCATCGTATGAACATCCTACAGATTAGGTATACACTGACACTCACACATACGCGTGTCGTGACGTAGTGTTGTATCAGCACGCCGCCGCACGCGTCCACACTTGAACACTTGGAACGTGTCAACACTTTATTTATTTATAGGGAAATTTTGTCAAAAATTAAGTACCTATTTTTTTTACATAATTCGAATGAGAATCATGTACCGAGTATTCTCCTTAAATATTGATAGTAATTCACCAGTCACCCTGTATATAATATACTTTGCAATGGAGTCAGACTTTTATAGTCTTAAAATGCTATTAAACATTTTAATTAGTATATACATACTACCAATAATAATGTCAATATCGTGTGGCCGAATTTTATGAGCAATTTTTTGGATACAATAGCAACGCCATCTATTGTTAAGTAGTTTTAGTATAGCTGTGTCGTTAAAGGAGTTTTAAACTATTAGTGTTTCTTTTCTTTAAGAAATGGATAGCACGAGGTTTACTTAAAAAAATGTACGTCGGTTAATTACCCATCAAATCTAATACATAAACAGGGTGACTGGTGAATTATTATCAATATTTAAGGAGCATACTCGGTACATGATTCTCATTCGAATTATGTAAAAAAAATAGGTACTTAAATTTTGACCAAATTTCCGTATAAATAAATAAAGTGTGTACACGTTCCAAGTGTTCCAAGTGTGGACGCGTGCGGCGGCGTACTGATACATCAACACGCCGTCGCGCGCGAGTGTGTGTGTGTGTGTGTGTATACCTAATTTGTAGGGTGTTCACACGATGCGTAATTAATTACATAACTTTTGGTTAACTTTACTTAGAAGTTTATTAATATTTATGTTATATTAATTTTTATTTTGTCATATATGATCGTCAAATATCACGTCCTCAAATATCGATAATAATTCACCAGTCACCCTATATATAAAACTCTCGTGTCACGATGTTAGTTTCCGTACTCCTCCGAAATGACTTTACCGATTCTCATGAAATATTGCGAGCATATTGAGTAGGTCTTACAATCGGCTACTATCTATTTTTCATACCCGTGAGTCACAAGGGTTGTTCACCCTTAAATTTTTAATTTTGGACGAAATTTTTGTTTTTATTGTTTTATAATGTGCCATTAAAAACACATACAATCCTAAACTTTTTCTCTTTCATCACCAACCCATATTTTTTATATGGCAAAACAACGTTTGCTTGGTCAGCTAGTCATTATACAGGATGACTGGTGAATTACTATCAATATTTAAGGAGCATACTCAGTACATGATTCTCATTCGAATTATGTAAAAAAATAGGTACTTAATTTTTGACCAAATTTCCGTATAAATAAATAAAGTGTGTACACGTTCCAAGTGTTCCAAGTGTGGACGCGTGCGGCGGCGTGCTGATACAACACTACGCCGCCGCCGCGTCTGTGTGAGTGTGTGTGTATACCTAATCTGTAGGGTGTTCATACGATGCGTAATTAATTACACAACTTTTGGTTAACTTTACTTAGAAGTTTATTAATATTTATGTTATATTAATTTTTATTTTGTCATATATGATCGTCAAATATCACGTCCTCAAATATCGATAGTAATTCACCAGTCACCCTGTATATATAAAAATATGACATACGGTGAAGGAAAACATCGTGAGGAAACCTGGATTTATAGTTTCCCAATTATAAGTTTGAAATCACCAACCCGTCTTGAGCAAGAGTGGTGATTAATGCTCAAAACTTCTCCATGTGAGAAAGACACCTTTGCTCAGCAGTGGGCTCTGATAGGCTGATGACATATGATTTTCGTTTGATGGTGTATTAATCTTTTTTTCCAGTGATTCTCGTCACCGCCGCCTTTCCGTTTCCGGTTTCCTGTGTGTGTTACGTCACACGCGCCTATCTTCATGGTCGGAGTCGAGTCAGCCGGAGTCAGCTCACTCCTACCTCACTCAGCTGGCGGTTGACGTACACTCTAACAGAGACGCGTGGGTATAGTATACTTTACCTCTACCAAAAATTTTGCATAGTCGAACTAAGTCAGTCAGTCAGTCAGTCAGTCAGTCAGTCAGTGGTAGCCTAGTGGTTAAAGGCCCGCCTCTCATGCATAAGGGCGCAGGTTCGATCCTGGCCCGGGCAAGTACCAATGTGATTTTTCCGATCATATGTACTTTCTAAGAGTATTTAGACATCCCTGATTAATGCATTCCCAAAGAGGGTTGATGTCAGGCAGGCGGCCGGTCGTAACAAAAAACAATTAGTCAAAACTATTCACAACATGTAAGGCAGACCCTGGCTATAGCTGGGAAATTGCCAGGTAGAAAGAACTAAGTACCAAACGGCTCCGTTGTTGGTACTGATGTACGAACTAATAGTTTATAGAACTTGGCTGGTTTGGAATTTATAATTTAGATATAGAGAATTACTTTTTAAACTTTCCTGGACTACTATGAATATTTCAAGACCACAATTAGCCAAATCGGTCAAGCCGTTGTTTAGTTTTAGCGAGCTTAAGGAATGGTAATGTAATGGTAATCTGTCTGTCTGTTACGCTTTCACGCCTAAACCACTGAACCGATTTTAATTAAATTTGGTACAGAGATAGAGTTGACGTTGAGAAGGAACATAGGATAGTTTTCATCCCAGACTTTTGAAAGGATCTCTTGAGAACGCGATATAACTGAACTCTACGCGGGCGAAACTCCGAGCGGAAAGCTAGTATATATTATATAATACTAGAAGACCCGGCGAACTTCGTTTCGCCCTATAATCAAGAAATATCTGTTACGTTTTTTTATTTATATTTTTGGAGTTTACCTATTAAAGCCATAAATCTCCGTGTTTTGAAGTGATTAGGAATGATTAATAGTTAATATGAGAGTTACACTGAGCTAGCAAAATAATAATTGTCAACGTTACTACTACACTTGATGCACAAACAATAACGATGGCCGACAACTGTGTAGGGAGTGAGAGAAGTCTAATTGTGTGAGAGAAACAGAAGACCGGCTTCGTTCTCATCCCTACTCCGTGCTGTTTACTGGGTCAGAAGTGACACCTGTAGATATCTGGCGGGGATAACTTATTAAATGACGATTGATCAGTTATCGACCGGAGATGAAAAATGATTAAATTACTAAAATAGCTATTAAAAAATAAGGGTTGATCGTAGAAGGGTGAAAATTTAGGATTGTATGTATTTTTGTACGTTGTATCATAAAAAAATAGTAATTAAAAATTTTGTCTAAAAAATAAAAAAAAAAAATTTAGGGGTGGACTACCCCTAACATTTAGGGGGATGAAAAATAGATGTTGGCCGATTCTCATAGCTACCGAATAAGCACAAAAAATTTCATCAAAATCGGTCAGGTTGTTTCGGAGGAGTATGGGCACGAAAACTGTGACACGAGAATTTTATATATTAGATGTATATTTCCAGTGTCAACTCTCGCGTCCGAAACGAGAGTCTGTTTATGGAGATCGTGTCCATATTACGACGCTGCCTGGTGCAAGACGTTGCTGTCAAACAATATTTATATACAGGTGAATAATATTAATTTTCAACGAAAATATTAATTTTCAAGCTATAATTTCTTAAAGTATTTTGGTCCTAAAAAATATTGCTATTAATTGTTTGTATAGACTATAAATATGTTATTTTTCTTTACATTCATCTAATTGTTCATTAAAATTTAGAATGTGTATTTCTTAAATCCCTCACTCTTTATAAAAGATTCTATACTAGGACTCTAGCAAAAAATGCATTTAAATACTGTATTAAATATATTAAAATGCACCAACAGAAATCTACAACTCAGTAAAAGATAAGGCAGCTCTTCACGAATCTATACTAGAGATGCTTAATGATCATCTCAGTAAGTATCTACCACAGGAAGGGGAAGGAGCTGTACTGATGAATGACTGTGTGTCCAGTAATGGAGAATTACTAGTAAGATGTTATATATACTTGATGAGTTATTGGCTATAAAAAAATTCATTATGAGTGAAACTTCGTAATGTTTGAGTGGAAACAGGAAGGGATATTAATTTTTAGTGTTTCTTTAATACTACTTACAAGTCACAATTGATTGCCCGCATGCGCTCGAACGCCATGAATTTCCCCTCGCACCGCTTTATTAAATCAGGATAAAATATTTAACATAACCTTTGTGGAAGTCACATCTGTTTCACTTTAAAAATGTTGATTATCCATCATAAAGCTAAACAAGACCTATGTACATATACAGGGTGACTGGTGAATTACTATCGATATTTGAGGACGTGATATTTGACGATCATATATGACAAAATAAAAATTAATATAACATAAATATTAATAAACTTCTAAGTAAAGTTAACCAAAAGTTATGTAATTAATTACGCATCGTGTGAACACCCTACAGATTAGGTATACACTGACACTCACACATACGCATGTCGTGACGTAGTGTTGTATCAACACGTCGCCGCACGCGTCCACACTTGAACACTTGGAACGTGTCAACACTTTACTTATTTATACGGAAATTTTGTCAAAATTTAAGTGCCTATTTTTTTTTACATAATTCGAATGAGAATCATGTACCGAGTATGCTCCTTAAATATTGATAGTAATTCACCAGTCACCCTATATATTAAAGAAAGGTTAAGGTTGCTACATTTTATTGGTATTTATTTTTTATAAAAAACCTGGAATGTTATAACAGAAGTATTTCAATGTACATACATTAGATATATTTATCACATTTTTTGTCAATCCATATATTTTTCAGGAACCCATCGGATATTTGCTGTTCACCATAGCACAGTTCCTTCGGAATTCTGATGATGAATCCGATGATATATTGAGCAGTCCACCAGAAAGCCCCGTAACATATTATAAGAATAAACTCACAACTGTGATGCAGAAGATTTGTCAAGACGATTGGCTCTCTATAGTAGATTTGGTATATATTAAAATTATAAGAATTATAGCAAAATCTTTTATCAACATTTATAAATTATACAGACAATATAACAATCAGTTTGTGTATTGTGTAATCAGTCATGATAAAAGATGAAAATAACATTAAGGACGTATAAATATTGGAGAAAAAACGTATTGCAAACCAAAGATATAGTTTAGGAAAATCTTTAGTTCAAGTTAATGTTGCTTAAAATGAAATCAAATAATTTTACAAAAGCTTTATAATTGTCAAATCATATAAACAAATAGTCAAGTTCATGTATAGGAAGCTTAATAAAGAAATTAATTCACTTTACGCCACTAGGAATCGCTTTCGGATCTCACAATCGAGTCAAAGGTCAAATGTGTGAAGGTACAGCAAATATTACAGTGCTACGAAGCCCTGATGGCCCATAAGATAATGCAATGGAACTTACTCACACCTCAAGCAGATTCCGTGCTTAGATTATATAAAGCTCATAATCAATTGTTAGAAAATACCAAGGTATTATCACCTAATTCATAATTATCTACAAATCAATCTTTTTATTGCAGGAAAATTAATTTGTATCCATTTTTCAGGCACCTTCAAAAGTTACCAAAAAGGCAAAAGCAAATGAAACAAAAGATTCTACACAGAAGAGTCCGAATGAGAAGGAAACCAAAAATAAACAAAAGGAAAAGGGCAAAGCTCCAGTTACTTTCGCTAGTGCTTCTAAAGATAGAGGTGGCCCATTCAAACCACTGCCATGCGTGTGGGACTTGTCGTTAGGATTGAGAGTATTACAACTATTATATAGGTATTACAACTTTATATCCAAGTTTTAAACTGTTTGACAAAATGAACACTTAGTAAAAAAGCAAATTGGTCAAATCCTGAACTCGGAAGTTCTTTAACAATCAACTTTAATGTTATAAATGCGAAAGTAAACCTGGCTGACAAACAGATGTTTGTAACCTTTTCAAGCCTGTACCACTCAACCGATTTCGATGAATTTTGGTATAGAAATAAACGGAACCCTGGAAAAGGACCTAGGGTACCTTTAACCCGAACCCGCATTGGTAAAACCATGAAGTGGAATTTGGGTTTAGTGACCGTAATGGCAAAGAATATCTCGGATGTCTACGAACACAAAGTCGCGGGCAAAAGCTAGTTTTATATAATATAATCTGATGATAATTGCTTTCTTATCAATCCAATTCAACAAGACACGTATCTGTATATAGAAAATACTATCAATATATGTTTGTTAATATTGATATATCCTACTAATATTATAATTGCGAAAGTTTGTGAGTGTGTGTGTATGTTTGTTACTTCTTCACGCTCAAAGGGCTGAACCGATTTTGATAAAAATTTGTATACAGGAAGCTGAGGTCCAGGAATAACACATAGGCTACTTTATATCCCGGAAATCCGCGGGTAACACCGCGGGGCGCAGCTAGTATATTATATATCTTTCAGCGAGGAGGTACCTTGGTCGTCTTCAGAGCACCGTAACCAAGTCCGCAGCCACCGATCCTTCAACTTGTTCGCAGTGCGAGCGGTCCACGGAACACTATCCGATAAATTACCAAGACATCAGATCGCCAATGAAGTACTGAGTGTGGCGGGATTGATATACACTAGATGTATATGCAAGTGAGGCGACTCTCAATATGTTATTTAAAATAAACTAAGACTAAGAGAGGAATACTAGAGAACTAACACTCAGTTAAAAAACAGGGTGGTTGTAAAGTAACCAAAACGGCGGGAGTATGTAGTTTTAAAAATAATGAAACACCGCGTAGTTATCAGAAATTAGTAGTGTTATTTAATCAAAACTAAGCTTATAAATACCTAAGTCAAGTAAATCAAGCTAAAAAGTAATGTAATTGAAGAAAAATGTTTATTCATGCATTTTTGAATAAGAGAATTTTATATTAATTAAATATGTAATTATAATTTGCCATGTAGTATTTGTGTCATATGTGTGGTTAAGTTTAACTAGATGGCAGCACTAATCTTGTTAGTTCGATCTTAGTACTAAGATTGTCTAGACCTCTGAATGTATGACTATCTTTCTTATGATATAAAGTGTTCGTTCAAATTAAATTTGGGTGTATTAATTGATTACGAAGGCAATACAAATTATATCTAGCAATATGTATTTACTAAGATTCTTTTATTTTTGTAATATTAATAAAATATTATGTTTTCAGATTTCATGATGTATATAATTTCGATGAGCATGTAACATATGCCTGTTTGGAACTGTTCAAAGCCTGTTTGAATCTCCTGTTGTCTAGCACATATGCTTTTAAAACAGAAGCTATTCTATTGGGATTGAGTAAGAATTTAAGTGTTAGCTTTATGAGGAATAAATTTATAATCATATTTTTTTTGGCCTTTGTGAGTGGTGCATTTGATATAACAGTGATTCTTTGATTTAAAATATGAATATAAATAACTAATAAATAAACCGAAACACTGCTCAATAAACTATTCTAATAAAATAAACAAACTCTTGATAAAATAAATCCTATTTTTCTTATTTTTCAGCTTGCAAAAAAGACGCCACTGAATCTGTATGTATGGCCAATTTATTAGGAGCTCTGTTCAAGTCTCTAGAACATTTGGAGAATGAAAGGGCGGATGACGGTTTAGACTCTGTGGGGAAGAAGACTTTCACACTGCTGGTACAAATATGCACAACACTCATGGACGTTCCCGTAAAGGCTGCGTTTGACTTGAGCGAGGTTAGAACTTATATTAATATACCCTGATTTGACGAATACTAATAAAAACAAATATATAATAAACTAGCTTTTGCCCGCGACTTCGTCCGCGTGGAATAGTGACTTCCGGCAGATTTTTGGTTCGTCCCACATAGTTCCCGTTCTTGCGGGATTTTCGGAATGGTTATTATATGTTTTTTTTTCGAGTTCGAAACTATATATGTATAATTTTTAAAGTAAATTTAATTATTTTAAAAAACTTCTGCATACACATTTTTTGTTTTATTATCTTGTGGCAGAAGAACATATAGATTTTCGCCACAACCCGATCTTGAGAACGATCAGCACTCGATTCCCGTTGCCGGTTCGCCAAAGTTCGGAAATTTTGTGAGGCTAAACGCTGCGAACGTTCAACGCTTGATTCCCTTGCACGGTTTTGTTCAGTAATTGCTCGTTGAGTAGCCAACCTATGCATATTTTCATCCTCAGTTTCATTGCTGCGCAAAACTAAAGTACTCCTAACTAACAACATATTTATTTGTTTATTTAAATAAGGATTAAAATATTATTATGTTGATACAACTTAAACAAATTATTTCGACCAAATTAGGTACCATAAAAACGGTTTTTGTGAGTTAATCTTAAAAGATAGACATATACTATCGCGGACTGTTTTTTAGATCATTAAAAGAGCTATTATTCTTTAATGCATATTTTTTGTGTATCTTGAACCGTTTTCACGGCGCACGCAACGGAAGGCTTCAAACATGAAATAATTTCTCCCGTTTTTTACACATTTACCACTATATCTTTGCTCCTATTGGTCGTAGCGTGATATTATATAGCCTTCCTCGATAGCTGGACTATCCAACACAAAAAGAATTATTCAATTCGAACCAGTAGTTTCGGAGATTAGCGCTTTCAAACAAACAAACAAACAAACAAACTCTTCAGCTTTATAATATTAGTATAGATAATTGAACTTCTTAGAAATAAGCCAATGAAAGGGATATTGGCAATTTGTCAAATTCGTTTCACAACTTTCATACATTTCTTATGTAACCATAATATGTATTTAAAACACAGTTTTTATTCTATAAACAGTTATATTTCAATAGTATATACTTTGAAGCGACAATTATTAAATATTTATTATTTAGGACTAGCGAAGTTGGAACTTATAAGTATTATATTTTCCATGACAGTGAAAAATAGTTCAGTTACTCAATTTTTCTATTATTAATCTTTATACTAATTTATTACAGGAGCGATGAAAACGAAATCTATTTTATTGTTAGAGGGGGACAGATAGTACGAAATACTTCTGTCTCGCTCACACAGCATATTAATTGAAATATAAAGTTTAAAGAGTTTATTTTCTCATAAAAACACAGGGTTTACATAAAATTAGATTAATAGATACATTAATATGTAGTTACAATATAACACCTCTGGAGCGCCGGTATCTAAACAAACTATTATCGTCTAAGCCGTATTTACGTACTCCTTCAGCTTTGTCTTAAATATAGTCATACTTTCTGCCTTCTCTATATAATTTGGTAAATTGAAATATGTGGTTAATTCCAGGTGTTGTCCAAACTAGAGAGTCTCTGCCGCTGTAGTCCCGTCCCTGACGTGATCGCCTTGTCTGCGGGGTGTCTGACGGCTGCTGCCCGGGACGCGCTAGACTCACAGCTTCTAGACGACATGCTGAAAGTACTGGCTGCCAGGCTAGACTATATATGTGATGTAAGTCTGAAGGGCACATTGATATGATAACCTATTTGGTTGTATTACATGGAAACAGGTTCGCTAGGACAAAGACATTAAATTGAAGGTCAGAACAGTCGAGAAAGTTAAATGAAATGTATATAAAAATATATCATGACTAGTACAAAAAATATGTACAATATGTATAATATACAATATTTAATCATTCATATATCTACGTGGATTGTGGATATATTATACATATATCCACAATCCACGTAGTTTCTATAGAAAACTGCAAACAATGAATAAACGAATTAATTATACAGGGTGACTGGTGAATTACTATCAATATTTAAGGAGCATACTCGGTACATGATTCTCATTCGAATTATGTAAAAAAAATATGTATTTAATTTTTGACCAAATTTCCGTATAAATAAATAAAGTGTTGACACGTTCCAAGTGTTCCAAGTGTGGACGCGTGCGGCGGCGTGCTGATACAAAACCACGCCCCCGCCGCGAGTGTGTGAGTGTGTGTGTATACCTAATCTGTAGGGTGTTCATACGATGCGTAATTAATTACATAACTTTTGGTTAACTTTACTTAGAAGTTTATTAATATTTATGTTATATTAATCTTTATTTTTGTCATATATGATCGTCAAATATCACGTCCTCAAATATCGATAGTAATTCACCAGTCACCCTGTATAATAAAATTCGAATATATATTTTTAATGACATTTAACTAAAATTTCACATATAATAAAAAGTACCTAATATCATTAATAACAGGAAGTGGAATCGTCTCAAACAGATAACGAAAAGGATTTCCCGGCCATAGATGATAAGACGGGTCATACGGCGTTGGCGATGGTCTGTACACACCTTACTGGGAGACTTAAATGTGTAGAACATTTACTACTGAGAGCCAAAGACATAAGTAGCGCTATGGGATACACGCCTCATACACAACACACGAAAATACGGAGAGGTCAGTATTGTTATATTTTTAAGTTCCCAGTAAATACTAGCCTTTAATGAGATAAGATAATATAAACTGTATTAATATTATATTTTTATTAACACAATTGAAAGTGTTTCTAGAAATCATAAATTGTTGGTATGGTTGTAAACCACATGTATATGATTTTCTGCAATATATTCAATTTTTAAACACGTCAGAGAGTTTTTGGTGAGATTAAAACCAAAATTCTATTTGGATCTTTATTTTTAGTTATATGTTCGAAAATAATTTTCTTATTTTTCATATATATAAAATATTCAATCAGAATTAATGGAGCTATACGAGGCCATTCAAGTCCAGTTGTGTCAGCTGACCACGTGGACAGCTAGCGTCGCGTCCCTGCGCTGTGTTATAGGGACGGGCAGCGACAAGGTGCTGAACTTGTGTGTGAAACTGTACTCACTGCTGGGGACCTACGTTAAACTGATGGACCTACCCACAGCGAAGACATTACAGTAAGGATACGAACATTTTGAGGATTTTTAGGATATAAATTGTCAATTTTATCTAACTATAGGACTAACTGAAATTAGTTTCATGTTAAAATACCAAGTATAAGAAAAGTTGGGTTATCTTTTCTAGTTTCAAGTCTATGGCGAACTTTTTAAACATTAATCAACGCTGTTGAACCAAAAAGATTGATATGGAATTATAAGGGTATATTGACATTATATACCTAGTAACAAGCACTTATCATGAACTTAACAGATTCTAAATAAATGTTATTCAAAGCATTTGAGTAATTCTGATAAGATTTAATGTTTTGGACTTATTACAATCAAAATATAAACGTATTATAAAATTTTTACCTAATCATATTTATAATGAAGAGAGTAATACATGTACATCTCCTAAAACTTGTGACAAATCTCGACAAGTTACGACTCAAATCCAATTCATTTTCTCGCATTCTCCATAAAGAACCGTTATTACTAATACAACTTCTATGTAAGTCGTTCTAACAAAATTCTTAGAATTTCTATGAGTCAATCAATAACTTTATTATATATAAATAATCATTTCCAGCTTGGAAAAGCTATTGAAGCTGTCTGGTCGCAAGCTGTCTCAGGTTACAGACGAGCTGGTGTCGTACGTAGAGGCTTCTCAGCTACAGAAGAGTGTATTAAAGGACACCAGACTCGTGCCACGACTTGTTAAAGACAAGGAGCTGTTTAATAAGAACGTTGTGATGCTTGGAGAGGTATGGAAATTACTGACACTTGATTAGTAGATTTAATATAGTATGGATAATCATTAACAATATTGAAGTATGTACTCTGATATTAAGAAGATCACAGGATCGATTCCTATCCGTATTTATATATCGTATAAAAAATTCAATTTGAAGAACGTGCTTTATATTTACTGTTAAGTGATTTAGAATAATAATTATTATTAATACCTATAAATATTTTAATTTAAGTATGTATATGCATATGTGATAGTATGTCGATTCGTTTTTTGAATAATAATAAAGTTTATTCAATTCCCAGAAAAATTACCAGCAATATATATCACTGGGTAACGCGAGGGACTTCAAGATTGTTAAGCAAGTGTTGGAAGACAAGTTGAACGCGCTGGAACCGAACACACAGACTACGGACGCGACGGAGGCGGTGGCCGGTAACATATATAACATATTATATATAATATATGTATATATATATATATTCGCGACTTCGTCTACGTTAGTTTCATAATTAGAAATGTATGTAACCGGGTGAACTCTATACCTCCTTAAAGACAGTAAATAACAAGATTTGGATATAATTAACTTATTTATTTTTTCTTTTTCAATCGGATGAAAAGTATCCTATGTTCTTTCTCTTGTTCTAAGTACATATCTCTTTTCCAATTTTCAGCCAAACCCGTACAGCCGCTTTTGAGTTGTAAATAGTGTACCAAGACATACCAGACGTCATATTTATACCAAGATTTAAACCTAGTTCTATTTTCCTTTTAAACAATGTTTGATTTCGTTTTACTTTTAATAATAATCATGAATACTAATGAGGTTTAATAAGAATTGATGATAGCCTCAAATTATTTTAATGTCGCATCCGTTATTAAAACTGATAGCGCTGATAATATATAAGTATTAATAATTTACTATGTTTTTAGATGATATAGACGACGCGTCCACCGTTGTCTTGGATGATGAAAACGAATCTGATGTTGAAGAAAACAGAAGGAAGAGACGGTCGCCATCTTGAAACGTTATTGTTGTGTTATATTATAAAAATAAAAATATTATAATAAAAATTATAACAAGACTTTGTAGTTTGAATGTTCTATTGAAATTGACGAATGGAAAGAAATATATGAGATCCGTAGAGATTGGAAACATTAGTACCGCTTTAAATGTTTTTTTTTTTTAGATTTTGTGTATATAAAAATAGTTCGAACGAATAATAAAGCAATTTGACTGAGAGTTATATATTGAGTTGTTTATGTAGAAAATAAATATAGATATCGAAATTTTATAACGTAAGTTGAATAATTGTCAGGTTTTAAATAAATAAAATTGCTTAAGCTAAATAATAAACTATTTGATAAGACTTTTCACATCCGATTACATTATATGGTGTATTCAACAGTATCGACAATATTTCAAATGTCTCGCTTCTGCAATTTAACAGGAGGCAATATCAAATTATCTTAGCTCATATAAACAAAGGAATTTATCCGATTTATATATTTTACGTACAAATTAAAAATATACATTTTAAGTAATACTTAGTATTCTATATTATTGAATGGCATGTACAAATACAATTAAGAAAATTCTTAGATCAATGTTTTATAAACGAAGGCTTCAAGTAACCTATAAGGTATTCCCTGTAGTTTTGCGACGTTTATTTTCCCGCCGCTTCCTAGTATCACACAATTACTACATAATTTGATGTTACTCGGAAATATTGGAGTCAGCACTCCTATTATTTTTCTAATAATTCTTTATTCTAACGACTACTTTCAAAGACTTCTAATTTATATAACGACAATAATATTTTTTAACTTCGTCTTTAACTAGATAATAAAAAAAAATTGATGAAAAAACAGTATTGTAATAAATTTTAGGGATATTTAACACGATCTGAAGGACGTGAGTTATGTAGAAGAACAGCATTTCTAAATAATTGATAAGTTTCCGGATATTGGACAATTAGAATTTAAACTTTCTAGTTTCTATGTAGAAACTTTTTTATACACACTCTTATATATTTTTAATTACAACTAACAAAAACGAGTTTGTTTTTTTGTATTGACCTGAAAAATATGCATTTAAATTATTATATATAACGTACATGTTGTTCGTGGACTTGTATGTGTTTTAATTTTGATTTACTACCGAAAAATATTTAATTTGTAGTTCATCGCATTAATGAACACGATGACCGGTTGTCACCTGTTGAGAAATAAATTTATAGTTAGGAATGTAATTCATCAGTGTCTACCCTAATAAGCGCTGCGGAAACTGCTAATTTCTTACCATAATAGTATGTAAAATCCGGCTTCTATTCATTTAATATGAACGATTTATTTAAGTTACATTTCCGTTCAAAATGTAATTACTTTTTATAGATTTCGTCATAACGGATATCACACATGTATTTAATATACATAATATGTTTATTAGATACATAATACATGAGTACCAAATGCGAATAAAAAATTTAAATAAACCGAAAAGAAACTTTAAAAACAAGAAAGATCGGTGAAAAACGTTTCGTTTCTACTAATATTTAATTAACAGAAACACTACACTTAAGTTACTCTATAAATGAATTCACTCGAATCACAACTGACACTCGTATTTATCCTGTTAACTAAAATAACTTTTACTGTTTAATTATGCCGCGATTGTTTGTTTACTTTATATTTCAAAAAGTATCAAAGAAACAACCAAAACTAATAACAATATTAAAATTGAAATGTTCATTTCAAGTTAAAAGGATGCCGTTAAAACTTCATAACTCTACAGTTAACAACTGATAGTCATGTTTCTAAGAAATGATATTTCGATATAAACTCTCTTGGCGATTCGGTGTAAATTGCATTAAACCCGTTAACAAGAAAACATCACATTGAATGTTCATAATACTTAGAAGTGGCATTAACTATAATTTATAGTAAATACATTATATATAATTAATAATAATTATCTTTCGTAATATCTCGAAGAAATAGATTTTTTTGTTAGCGTGTCTTGTGTTAACGGAAAGAGTATGAATTTTAAAATACTGTTTGCAAGACAAAGTTTACTTAGTGAGTGACACTAATTGTTTCTGTGGAATACTTTTGTCTATATATTTTCCATTATCGTGGTGGACTTGGGTGACGCATGTGTTTCTCTAATAGATATTCAGAGGAAAGAAGCCGTTCTTTTTGCTCTAATGTTGTAACTAATGGTAATTAATTATTATTAGGGGAGAGTTGGTTATATCGTACTAGCATTTAAATCGTACCACCTCTTAATTTCCCATTTAATGAATGTTTTTTTTTACATTGACAACGCCAAATCGTGGCCCTGTACCATCCCTCTTCACCCACTAGTTTACATCGACGTGAGTTAACAACTGTGCATGTAATAAAAAAAAACATTTTTTGTAGGAATTAATATGTATAAATATTGTCGAACATTCGTAAGGAGATAACTCGTAATCAAGGTTAGCTATAGATATTCATTTTTTTTTATTATTCCACAATTGTATACTAGATTATTGGGAGTTTTTATTGCATGTCTAAGTTTTGAGTTTATGCCGGATATTTGCTTTTGTTTTAGAAATGCCTTAGTCGGTTTAATCGTACCACTTGCAGTTGGTTAAATTGTACTGGTACGATTTACCCGACTACCAACCGCAAGTACCTATAGTACTACCGCAAGTACGTATAGTAAGTACTACCCAAGGCCAAAAACAAAAGTTTTAAGAGGAAACGATCTCATTCCATCACCAGTAGCGATGATTCAGGAGAGACACTTGTTGTAGAACTAGATGATGATGATGACAGCGATGATTATCTTGAAAATATATGTGGAAAGTGCAATTGTTCTTACTACGATAAGATGGGTCCAAAAGTTGATTCGATTCAATGCGTTCGCTGTAAACGGTGGCTACATGAGACGTGTACTTCGAATTTTTGAAAATATTTGTCATGATTGTTACCATTAAGAAATATACACAATAATTATATTACAAATAACATTCTTGTTAACTGTTACTTTATTAACATAGTTTACTGTTTTTTTTTTGTCTCATTTTTATTAGTTATGTTGATTGACCTCATTATCATAGCATAATCATGTTATTTTACTGAGAAAGCTTATAGTTCCTTTATATAACCTAAGAGTTAAAAATTATGTTTCTATTACCTAAAAGATATAAATAATGTTGTTTTATTACTTACCTAACAGTCAAAAATAAATAATTTGATTGAGAATTTTAATGTCTTTCATTCGGTGGTACGACTTAAACACCCATGGTACGATTTAAAGACTTAGTGGTACGATTAAACCGACGAGTCGGCTAAATCGTACCGATGGCAAGCCTCTACAAAAAAGCATTTTTAACAATGTTAGAATAATCGCAAGGATCTGTTCTCTTCTTCTTAGGAAGCTAAAATATGAAACTTTATTTTACATATGTATTAATTATTATAAGACGTGTTATAGTCGAAATATTTGAGTTAAAGTGAAAAGTGGTACGATATATCCGACTCTCCCCTATAACAAGTAAACCACTTCACTTCTCAGTAACCTTTTGGTCAGGACAGCTAATTCATTTCAATACAAATTTCTTTAGTAACATTAAGATATCAGTTTTTCGTTAACAATACCTATTAAAATATTTATGTAACTTCTGCTAATATTGTGATTCTGATTTTTATTAACATCTTTATTTAGAAACACAATTTGTTTTCGTTTGTTTGCTTATATTTTTTTATTTAATATAACCTATCTTTGAGATACAGCAAAAATTTTTGATAATTCTTTCGTGGTTTTATAGTTTTTTTTTTTTTTTTTTTTTATGTGAAAGGTGGCAAACGAGCAGACGGCCCACTTGATGGAAGGTGGTTACCGTCGCCCATGGACATCCACAACATCGTTGCGGATGCGTTGCCAACCTTGTTTTTTTAGGGATAGGGAGAGGTGGGAATAAGGAAATGTTAGGAAAGGGTGGGAATAGGGAAAGGGCAACCGGCTCTCTCACTCATCGGACGAAACGCAGCCACTAAAGGCTACTTCACGCCGATCTTCTGTGAGAGGGTGGTACTTCCCCGGTCGAGCCAGCCCATGTTCGAGCTGTAGTAACTGACTACAGCTAGGCTCTACCACCTATAAAACGTTTTAAAAACCATGGAACAAAAATGGTGAATTCAATGGTCATTTAACGACGTGCAATTAAAAAATACATACCTATATATTTTTTGTACAATTTTATATCTTACATTTGTGACTTTCGGATTTATCCTTTAAAATCATCCTTTTTTCTTTCCAAACATTGATTTGATTCTTTGTTAGTAGATACAACAGAGCTAGTTCTCAGTACAGTAGAAACTCGATTATCCGGCCCTCAGTTATACGGATTCGCGATTATTCGGACTACGGACCAATTACATACGTGTCGGAACTTGCATTAAACGCATGCGCGTTCGCTACCAAGCGGGTTTCGTTATTGGTATTTGGTAGCAGTTGTAATTAGTCCGCAATTGTTACTCCGATTTGACATCCGTGTTACCTCTACTTAAAAATACATATTAAAATAATGTCAAAGCGTAAGAGAGTGGTGTTATCGCTTAAAGACAAAATAAATATTATTGATTCATTGAACAAAGGAGAAACCGGTTGTAAGTTAGCTGAAAAGTATGGTGTAGGTGCATCCACGATAAGTGATATTAAGAAGAATACCGATTCAATTTTGTTATACACCTGCAAATTTAAACATCGGAAAGTGATGAAGAAACCGAAAAATGAACTTTTAGATGAAGCTTTGTTTTGTTGGTTTTTACAAGAACGATCAACGGGGCAACCGATATCTGGTCCTTTGCTCTGTGAAAAAGCATTACAGTTAAATAAAAAAATAGGTGGCGATAAATCTTTTGTTGCAAGTAACGGGTGGTTGTACAGATTTAAATCTCGCCATGGAATTCGTGAATTGGAAATACAAGGTGAAAAAATGTCCGCTAATGTATATGCAGCAAACTCTTTTAAAGATGATTTTAAGAAACATTTGGATGAAAATAACTATGACTTAGATTTTGTTTATAATGCTGATGAAACCGGATTAAATTGGAAGTCATTACCATCAAAATCTTCAGTTTCTATTCGAGAGAATTCAGCTCCAGGATATAAAAGTAGCAAAGAGCGTGTAACATTATTAGCTTGCGCTAACGCTACCGGCACACATAAAATACCTTTGCTTCTCATCGGAAAATCAAAAAATCCAAGATGTTTAAAAAATGTCAGGGTTCCCTTAATTTATAAAAATCAAAAAAGCGCATGGATGAACTCTGAAATATTCATAGACTGGTATGACAATACTTTTATCCCTGAAGTAAAAAAAAGACAAAAGAAAATTGGCAAAGAAGGTAATGTACTGCTTGTACTGGATAACGCGCCAACTCATCCTTCTGCTGAACTTTTGGAGAGAGAAAACAAAAAATTTAAAGTAAAATTTTTGCCTCCTAATGTAACATCCTTGCTACAACCAATGGATCAAGTTATTGAAACTCTCAAGCGTCTTTATAGAAAACAGCTTTTACGGAGATTGCTATCGGTTGATGAAGATAATGTAGAGGTCGTTGTATCATTTTTTAAGAAAATGAATTTAAAGGAATGTTGTTACATGATTATAGATGCATGGGACTTGATTGAAAGAAAAACTTTAAACAATGCTTGGAACAAATTACTTAATAGGGACATTGAAAATTCGGTAACGCATAGTGATGATTCAATTCTGGAGGATATTAAGGACTTAATATTAAATATACAAATATGCAAGGATTGTGATAATGATGATGTACAAGAGTGGATCACTTGTGACAGTAACGATCCAGGCTTTCAGATGATGTCGGATGACGAAGTTATAGAAAACCTATTGCAGAGTAATGAAAAGCATGAAATCAAAGAAGATGAAACAGAAGACAATCAAGACGAGGAATATAATGCAGGACCATCACACGATCAAGCAGTTCATGCCCTCGAAACAGCTATGAAATGGTTTGAAAAACAAACAGAGAGTGATCCTATGAGCTTACTGCAGCTGAAACGAATTCGAGATATAGCAGCCATGAAGAGAAAGAGTGGCTTACGTCAAATGACGATAACAAAATATTATAAACCAAATTAAACTTACTACATATTTCATTTCATGAATAAAACTGCAGTTTTTAATACATACATGTATCTGTATGTATATATAACCTAAGAATTATTTATCAATAAACATTGATTTTCGTTAATATGTATTTGTTATTTTTTTTTAATAAATATACATATAATATTATGTACTACACATGCACAAAACCCACTTCTCTTCATAAATTCGATTATCCGGATTTTCGATTATCCGAATGTATATCTACATACAACAATTTGTCCGGTTAATCGAGTTTCTACTGTAATCTCTACTTTTTAAATTCTCAAACTTTTAAACTTAACTGGTATGACTTGTATGTTGCTATAGTTAATAGTTATATACATATAAGGATCGACAACTCTGCTTTTTGTTACGAAATCTGTGAAAGAAAACATATTTATATTCATTAAAAAATTAAATATTTTTATCATATTTCTTTACTCACAATTTTTAATTTACGATTTTTATTTTACCACAACGATTTATTAGTTACATTTATTTTATTTCGATTTATTTCAATCATATTTAGATTTTATACTTATGTCTATTTGTGTACAACCTTTTTATTATTTTACAAAAAAAATATTTATTAAGCACGCAGGTTCAATATTACCTCGTAACAAAAATTCTTTTTAAAAAAATATTTCAAAATTCAAATAAATATTTCGAAAGAAGAATACAAATAGCGTTCTCGAAGTCTTCTTTATTAAGACTGCTAGCATAGTTGGGCATTCAAAACACAAACTCCAAGTCATAAACACGCTACGAATAATACAAAAAATACAAAATACAAAAGTGATCAAACAATACAAGCCCCCCGCTATATCTGCTCAGTGATAATTTGCCTAAGGAAAAGAAATTATTGAAGATGCCTTGCTATCCTTGTTGTAGTCCCTGCTACTCTTGCTGCGGACCTTGCTACTCGTGCTGTTCGCCGTGCTGTTCACCTTGCTGCGGCTACTACTGCTGCTATTAGACGGTAAATGGCCGCCCGCGACTTGCTATTCAGCAGGCTGTGCTTGGGCTTCAGGTGTTGCTCCGTTGAGCGGTCAGCTCGTCATGAAGTGTCGCGGAAATACTCTGATGAGCCAGCTCCTCGTGTAGAGTAGAAAACGGGAAGCGACCACGCGATGTTGAGCGTGACTCCGTCGCAAACGAAGCCCCTGGCCCTTCAGAGCTCGGAGGGCTGTCGCGCACATTCTGCGATGGATTTGGTTTTAGCGAGGATCGCGTCGGCAGTTTTTCCGAAGGCAATCTTGTCGCAAATGTTCTGGTTACCAATTTTGAGTGTTTATTTTTGTACAATGTTTAAAAAAAATAAAACGTTCAGGTCACAAAACGCATATTTTTATTTCACATTTCTTTAAATGGAGCAACTACTTTCAGCTATACCGTCCAAACTACTCTTCAATTTCATTAACGAAACTGAGCATTTATTCCCATTAATGTTAATTCTTTTGTAAGGGGAACATCAAAAGACCCGTTTTCTCCTGGGTGGGGCAAGTGTCACATTTCCGTACAATTTCCTGCTCCGAGCCTGACCGCGGTACATCATCATCATTCATTCATTCATCATTACGCTTTTACATTCGCAACCTGGTTTGGCATCAACTCTAGTTCTCCCCCTTCTATCATTACGCTACGGTCTGTACCCTCGGGTCTGATTCTGATCGGGCGGCAAGCTACCCTTTGTTTGTCGTCCGCAGACCCTCGCTCCTTTGTTCCCCTGGAGGGTTTCTGACAAAGTTACAAAGTTAGGAAGCTTTTTCGCTATTAGGACACTGTGTGAAGAGGGGCATAATTTTATTAGTTCTGGAAACTATAGGAAATACTAGGATTAGGGGAATACTAAGATTTTTCGAAAAATCTGCAAAAGGCTTTCCCAGAAATGGCTTTTAGGTTATCTAAGCACTAATGTTGAGGCGATTGTATGCCGACTTAATGATTAAAATTTTAAATACAATTTACTTGTCAGATACATCATGCAGAAACGTCCCAACTGCTCAATAGCTAAACCTCCATCAAACGATCGGCTCAAGACCTAGTAACTAAGCCTTAAAAGGTTGTTTTAACGTCGCCTATACATTCAAGCTTTTAATAAAATCAAAGATTATAAACTATTTATTTTATTTGATATAGATGTAGAAAAACATAGTACAAATGAAAACGTCAAAAATTACTCAATATATATGATATAAATCAACAGTAAATTTATATAAATCAATGTCATGTCTTCTATCCGCACGCTGGTCCACAACAAGATGCGCACAAGCCGCCGGTACAGCCCCCTATACACCCGTGACCGCAGCTGAAGAAGGAACCCGCCACACCGCCTCTAGCACTGTCATATAAACAAAATTATAAGAAATCAGTTTAAAGATACACTAAGAATAAGACAAATATAAGCAACAAATTTCAATACGATACTAAGTATTCTATTTCCTATTTATTATTTCTAAATAACAATGTTGGAAGACCTATTATAGCTATTGGTGATGATGATGATCAGGCACTAAAGATACGTTAAGAAGAAAATAAGCAACAAATATTAATACGATACTAAGTACTACATTTTCTATTTAATTGTTTCTAAATAACTTAATGTCCTAAGACTAATATTATGTAGCTATGATGATGATTATGATATGACTAGTGAATAGTTTAAGCCAACGAACCCATGTATGCAGCCCCTATCTCCACAAGGACTTCCACAGTTGGCGCCTATAGAGTGAACACAGCAAGGTCCCACACAGCAGCAGGGGTCCATCCTACACGAGCCCGGGCCACACGGACCATGCATTGGACCCTGGCAGCCCAGACAGCAATTTCTTACCGGCATTCTCGGCAATTTCTACGATCACAATTTTTCGCGTGAAAAATATGTTAGCGGGTGGGTACTTGTGTATAATTACTTTTGACTCATGTATATACTTACAGAAAATATGATAATTAATAAATGTAAATGAACTGCAATATAAAAAAAATGTTTTTTTTTTAATTTTTACGTTTGTGTTGCGCCTAAAGAAAGTGTGAATAAATAATGTCACGTAATATGATATCGAATTATATTTTTTTGTATTTATCATTATTTTATGCCATGGATATTTTAATTATCTATTTTTTTATATAGCAATCTATTAAATTAATGAAATATTGTTAAAATTATTTCTTTTTTATTATTATTTATTAATACACACCACTCGGTTGTTTTTTTTAGATTCCTAATGTAACCTTTTAATTTGCTTTTGAATAAAAAAAATTAACAAATGTAGTCCGGAAATATTTTTTTATTATATAGAAATTAATTTTGAAACCAACAAGGCTAAAACTATCACAATGTTTCCTTAGTACCACTTTCCATGTGTTTCAACGGAACTGAGATATCTTTCAAGGAGTTACTTATAATTGAAAGAAACATATTAATTTGCCATCCTAAAAACAAGAGAGTTTTAAGGTTTTCATAGTAAAATGTTGGGATCATAGTTCTTCTACATAGTCTACTTATTTGTTATTATTGTAAAAAAATAGATAGGCAAATTTATTTCGTATTTCTTTACAAAGGCTAAAGGAAGTGGATAATTCCAGTTAAATAAAGAAAAATAAACTGTGAAATGTAATAAAGCTGGTTGATCTGGCCGTCAGAACGAGATGCTATTTTTTTAAATTTATTTTCTATCAGTTTAAAAAATATGACACAGTCATTTCATTACTCATCGGTTTGGACTCTTTATAAAAACTAAAAAAAAAATACCAAAAAATAAGAAATTATATAACTAAATATTATATTGAATAAATAAAATGCCTTGTTGTTCTTCATGCGGCGTTCCTTGTTGCGGTCAAGTGGCCGGAGCGTCTTATCCGGCGCCATTTTGTGGACCTTGTTGCGGCGTATGTGTGGGACCATGCGGAAGACCCTTCGGCGTCTACAGTTGGCGATTTAGATCAAGCTGTTGCTAAGGAAACAAGCAAATATTTTAATTTTGGTTTGGTTTTAGTCATGTGTTGTAATAAATTTAAAAAAAATTATATTGTTTCATTCCTTCCCGTCATCTCCGTTTCACGATTAGTTTGCATTGGCTTTGTTCCGTTTAAAATGACTCACAACGATAAGGGTCCGCCTCTGTCAAGCTTTGTTCTGTGAACAGAACCTGTAAGAGGAATCGTCGAATGAATCATCAATTAGATTTTTATAAGTCAATGATCAGTTATATCAGATGTTTATTTATTAAGTGTAGGTTTTTTTGCGCGCAAGTCACATTCGAAACGTGCTGTCGAAGCTAAGTTATATTCGTCGGAAGTTTATTTTTGGAAGTCGCCATCTGATAGCGACGGAAATAGGAAGCGATGTGGCGGCAATTGTATACTTATGTTTAGCTTGATTAATATGCACATAATAAATGAATACATTTTTGATTTGTGGTATATTTAGTTGTATACACGATTAATTAAAGATAGAAATACAGTATTAAAAGATTAAAGGAGGAAAATTAAAGGGATTTATAAAAGATAAAAAGATTAATGATCTATTAATAACATTACTATTGATAACAGTTTTGAAATATTAAAACATACACATTATAATCAGATCAATTTTATGGATTTCCGAATAGCCTGGTATTAATTCCATATCTTTTAATGTACCTCATAAATGATAAAGATTTTAAACACGTGCAATTATCTAGTTAATATCCTTATATAAATTTATGATACTATCAAACGTATGAGAAGTTAATCATAATAAAGTTTCTTCTTTCGTAATACAAATAATTGATGTAAATATTTAATTGATGAAAAAAGTTAATTGCTGATGTATTTATGATGATTAATATTCCATAAACTGTATACACCAAGTATTTCTCATCATATTGTTTAATTCATCGTTATGCCCATTCGTCCATGACACTTACTTTGGCTTAGCATCGTCAGAGTAACACAGAGAGCTTCCAATTTCTCGTTCAATAATCCTCTTTCATGGTAGTATAAACATGTATATGAAGAACCTGAAATCGTTAGTTAGCTTTGACGAAGCAGGCTCAGAATAAGCTTAGAATATCTTAACAGGAATTCTAGATGTTTCGATTGTTTTTAGATCCATAAAGATAACAAATTAATGCGATGAAATGTTTTCGATTTGTCTGCAATTTAATTAAAACTTTTGGGAACTACTGGGATTATTATCGCCACAAAAAATTAAACTAAATTCGAGATAGATTCGTACGAATTAATTTGCATTATTCAAAACTGCAGGGACTGTGAATGTTTAAATATTTGTACGTCTAGTGCACTTTAGTTTCAAACACGGAGAAAGGAAGTTTAGTTCTTAGCAAAAAGAAACGGAGTTTTATTTGCGTCCTAAAATTACATTTTAATATAATCTGATTCTTCTGTAACTGTTAATTAAGTAATTTATATCACAAATGGACTTCTTGTGTGCGAATTTTATATAAAGACTTCCTCTCAAATGCATTTTTGCGAATATCCTGTTTATAAAGCAATCTATTTTATTCACATGAAACGTAGCACACAGAAATGGTTCTAAAATACCTTTTATGCCCGACGGTTCATAGAATTATACAGTAGGCGAAGGGTCAGAGCCTTCCACGAAAAGACGGACAAATTTACATTGTGTTTCATATAACAACGGTTTTTGTGACTATTAATAAGAAACTGAAAATTATTTCCTATTAAATTTGATAATTATTATATATATTTAAATACTACCACTACCATCCGGTGCATAATCTTCGTTCACAAACAGATTTAAAATAAACTCTATGATCAAATTGTCTTTATACATATTGTAATATTACTTATTTTCCAGAATTGCATGTGGCATTTATATCCTGCGCAACCCCTAATATCGATTTGATATAAAAGGATAAATTGAGGCAATGAAAACAATAAAAAAATATTAAACAATTCGAATATATTTTAACGAAAATGGACGACATAACAAATACTTTAGTACGTATTACAATATTTAATGGCAGTTACAACAAGGTCCAATGGGAGAGCAGCAGCAACCTTGGACGCATGGCATACAACACCTTCCCATTGGAGGATCACATCCACCTGGACATCTGGCGAAAGTTCCGATATTGAAATCCCGATAACAACCGTACTGGTATGGCATTGTATAAATTAAACTTAATTAAATTCAATTAGAAATGAATTTATATGATTTTTATCACTTTTTCAATTTATATGTATATTTTTTTGTGATTTTTTATAAGTTATAATTTAGTTAGAATAATTTAGAATGAATGACAATTTATATAGACATTTGTGTAGGTAATTTTTTCTAGCCAGTTTTTATTGCATATAAAAATGTATGTTCGGGAAATATTTTATATTAATATTTAGTGTTTAGAATGTTAAAAGAAAATTCATGTATGTTGGTATAGTATGTATAATCAATTAGTGCGTACCTAATGTTCTTTAAATAAACCAAATTTTTTTCCACCAAATTGTGCATAGCTTATTTGTAATATTATATTTTTATGACCCTTTATAGTACTTAGTTATTGTAGGCGTTTTGTTCCAAATGGAAGTTGGGAAGGTATTATGGATTGGGATTAAAGGAAAAGAGAGTTTATATATATTCTTTTATGGGGATCATCAGAAAGTTTAAATACAATGTACAGAAAAATATTGCAACTAGCTTTGCCACCAGAGATAATAATTCTCATCATACTTCACTTTCATCAAAATTAACAAGCTCAGAAATATTTTGTCAATATTTTCTAATGCAATTCTTTTTCATTCAATACCAATACAGTAATGACAAAATACTTTTTGCTGAATAAAAAACTATTTAATTAAAGAAGATAAAAGAGGACTTGCAAAAAAAAAACAAATATATTGACATTTAAAACAGTCGATCCAAAGAACGAGTCGGTTGGTGTACAACAAGAAAATTTATAGTGTTAAAATACCAACTACCAAAATGCCGGTATATTATGGAGGGTTTGTGGGAGGCCCGCAAGGAGGTGGCTACTGTCTTTATTCATCACACTGCAGTCCTTGTATTGGCGGGTGTGGACCTTGTGGACCTCTACCAGGCCCTTGTTGCCCGCTTTCATGCTAATGGTATACAAATATTGACAAGCAGTTTTTTCTAGAACAATGTTCTCTTAATTTCATTATAGTTTTTGTATTAACGCAAAATGTATTAGAATTTTAGGTCAAACGCCATAAACGTAGAAATACCTACCTATCTTTGTTACAGTTTCCGAGGGCACACAATTCCTGTTTGAAGATAATGTCTCATAACTCTGATGTACGTTAATTAAAATGTTTCAATGAACTCGTCTTTCATTTCGAATAAATTTTATGACAAGAATATCAAATGAATTTAATATTTGGTGCTTTATTAATAAAACAATTGTTAATTCAAAATTATCCAAATATAAATAAGCACAATTCATAAAATAGTAATTCGTTTGAATCAAGTATATTTTATTCAATATTGTATTTATGACTATAATTGCATGGAAAAGAGCAATTCGTCTCGCCGGCCGTTCTCAAAGGAACAGCTGCATTCCAAGCCGGCGACAGTTCCTCATCATACTAAAGTAGTACTGAATGCCCATTCGAATAAAGCTTATTTTGGTTTGATACATATTACAATGAGAATCGTAAGGATCGCTCTAATATCCCATGGGTTTACATTAATTTAGAGTACGGAAGATCATACATTTTACATTTAGCAAGACCGTATTATGTATTGTATGTTCGGTCTTCAGTATTTATAGTTTTCAAATATAGGTTGACAATGTTGCAATTACTATATTACAATGGTTCAGTATTATAGTTAAATTATCAGTCCAAACAATTCTAAGGGTTATATTATAATTAGTAGGTACAGCACGGTGTGCGCAACTTGAAGCATAGCGTTTTGGTCCACTTTCACGTGAATAAATAATGACCAATATTCAAACTACACCTTTTAGCAAAAATCTTACACAATCTCCCAACCTATAATTGACTAAAGAAAAATAAACGCTTTATAAACAGTTCAATTCCTTTATTGACATTTTCAACCAAATTCATAACCTTCACAAAGACTGTACTTAGACATGGACAAATGACACAGGACGCTCAACAACAGGGACCGCAGCAACCCCCACACGGTCCACAACCTCCACAGGGTCCACAACCCCCACAAGGGCCACACCCACCACAAGGTCCGCAGCCTCCACAAGGGCCACAACCCCCACATGGTCCACAGCCTCCGCACGGTCCACAACCCCTGCAAGGTCCACAGCCGCCACAGGGTCCGCAACCCCCACAAGGTCCGCAACCTCCACAGGGCCTACAGCCCCCGCAAGGCCCACAGCCACCACAAGGTCCGCAGCCTCCACAAGGGCCACAACCCCCGCATGGTCCACAGGGCCCACATCCTCCACAGGGTCCACAACCCCCACAGGGTCCGCAACCCCCGCAAGGTCCGCAACCTCCACAAGGACCGCAACAAGCCATTTTCACTTGATAATTTTTAATATATTTTAGAATATAAAATGTTTATATAAATTTTATATTGATTTCATAAGACTATATTTTTTTTATAAATTTTTATATAAAAAGCGTCCCGTAAGAAAATCTTTTGAATAATGATAAATTTCTATGTCTCGATAAACTTTCAAAATTTAAATAATCCTTATGGAATAGTTCGAATCATTGGTGACAGATGGTTGAGCAAAAAGTATGTATGGCAAATATTTTTACTGTAATTAAATAAATAGCTAGTTATTATCTTTAGCGATCACTTTCAAATTTTCTTGTATTAAAAAAATATAAAAAATTAAGGTACATATATTAACAAAAAAATTCGCGAGCATAACTTTTTTTACATTTGAATTTCCTTAACAAGTTGTGGTATGGCGTAAACGAACAGCTTGCATTCAGCTTGAGGTATTAAGATTAATGTTTGTGCTTGTTATTAAATAATTCATAGGATGTTATGTGCTGTTGGAGGTAAATTGCAGTTTCCGGTTAATTTCCACGTAACCCTCAAATCGTTGGAACGCCCGCAGGGGTGAACAACATTTTATTTTGTTCACAAAAAATATTTATAGTAAAATTTATGACATCATTTCACTTTTGCTCAGACAAGTTAAGAAATAAAAGTTTTTCATGTATGTATATTTTGATATAATGAAATTATGACTCTATATACATATAATAACATTATTTGTATGTTAGGAAATTTTAATACATATATATACGTATATTCATTTTTAAATATAGCTTTGCTATGTTATAAAATATCTATAAATATCCGAGGCTGTTTCCGGCGATGCCTTCCCACGACAAATTGTAGGAAGTGCGTTCTCAATACCTAAATTGAGTGAATGTCGCTTTGCTTCTACGAATTTTTAAATCGTTTTCCACTGGGGACTGGGGTGAGCAGTCGCCCGAAACGCGGTACACATAAAGCTGATTTATACATGCGGAGAAATGTATGCATATAATATAATACAGAGGAAATATATGCATGAGAAGATGTATGAAAATATTTTTATCATTATACTCGATATATGTATGAGAAAAAATTTCTTCCAAATGAAATTTATATGTTTGTTTTCTGTTTATTCAAAAAAAATATTTTAAATATTACATTGATACGAAATATATATTATATGATTTTAGTTTATTGAACATGAAAAATCTATTATCAGAAATAACATAATGATACTTTTAAACTGATTACTTTTTGTTATAGCATACTGAATTTTTAGATTCGTTAATTTTTTACCCTTAGTACAGATATATAGCTAAACGGAATACGAGGCGTTTCGAAGTTTTCATTCATATTATTACTACGCCTACCTTATTACTATAATATGCGAAGATTTATGAATGAGAAACTTAGGCCTTGGCGTGTGCAGTTCGACGGTGCAAACTTGTGTTAATTATACAGATGTAGGTTGTTAAGTAGTTTTTCTATATAAATATTCGTACCTACTATTTAAAGGTTTAAAATAGTAAATTATATATACGTATTTTAAAATCGCTTCAATTAACAGTTGGGTAAATCGCGTGTAATACTTTTGTAACGGGGACGCGACGCCATCTTTGGTAACATTCATTTACCTGTGACGTTTCATCCGTAAATACAAATGACGTATTTTATGACGTATTTTATGACAATATGATCAACTGTAAACTTCTCAATAAACACAAATTTTTCCTTCCGCATCAATTTTCCCTGTGGTTTTATGATTGATACATTTGAAATGGAATTTCGATATCTAATGAGGAAATACAATTATTACAAATTATATAATATATTTATCAGACTAAAAGATGTCTTATTTTTTTTATGTTGTAATATTTCTGAAATAAAAATCTAGAAAGAAAATCAATACATGTAAATAATATTTTTATATAAAATTATATTTATATAAAATTTGCTTTTATATTTTCAGTGATAGCAATACATGTTTTATATTCCTATTTGTGAAGGCAACTCAAATGTTTTAAATATCTCAGACAGGAATACAAGAATATGTGTAATATCTACGTACATCTCTAAAAAAAAGACACATTGCTTTAGTGTAAGTCATTCATCGTAAAAATAAGTCATTTAAAATATTATATATTGATTCTTTGGTACAGAACTTTCTACAACAATTATAATACAATCATATGATTCATTACAAAACGAACGTAGGATTCATTACGCAAAACATAGCTTCGTTACGTCGCGTGTGTCGCGATCGTACTCACGAAAATAGATAATTGTTTTTCTTAGAAATGTTATTTATATTTACAAACACATGTTTGTCTGAGTAAATATTTTCGTTTCGTATTAATATACTATAAACGTCAGTACCTTGAAATAAGTGGACTTTGATTCCAATTTTGTTATAGTATGAATTTAAATAAGAAAGTAAATTATCTTTTTCGTCTATATTTCTAATATTATTTAGTAAATATCTAGACAGAGCTAATACAAATATAAAGCAGATGAATTTGTTTTCATATTAAATTCAATTATGGCGTTGGTATTTATTTTGCGTGGGATAATCGTATTATTTGAAGATTCAATGTTGACGCTATATCACAAAATATCCAATACTTTATTGTGCATGACGTCAACATTCTCAACTTTCGTATTTTTAATATATAGCGGATTTATTTGAAATATTTTTCTATATAAATTCCATATTATATAAAGCTAAGTAGAATGCGGTTGCATATAATACTATGATAGTGAATTGTTTCGATAACATGTTCCTACTTATGCAAAGCTTACGGTCAGCCAAGTTGTTGACCTTATTGCTTTAGTATAATATTTCTTCAGATACGACAAAATAAACATAAAACATTATAATGCGTTTCGAAACTATAAATTTATATGTTATTTTTATTCTTTAATGAATACATACTTACATCGTATGATATTTAATGGTATGTTTCTTCTATTTAAATCCGCTCGTACAAAGCTTAGTTTTTAATAGGACTAATTTTATGGCATTAAGCCATAAGGCATTAATGCTTTTTTTGGGGCTCTTAATAAAAATTAGTTTCAATCGTATGTTTAACAAATGATTAGGTTATATAAACAAGAAAGCATACGGGGTAATAACTTCGTTTCTTTTGTTTATATCAGAATTAAAAGGCAATGACTTATTGAAACAGCCATTATATTAGTTGCGTAAAACCTGACGCGTTATCCCTTAAGAGTTTATTCCGTATCAACACAGACCTTACGTCTCCATCGTATAACATTCAAACGCACATTACTGGGAAGGTATCAGTTCTCGTTACTCTTACATTGTGCCGCCACGTTCTGCGAAATCTACTGCTTTCTACATCGTCTTCTTGTGAAATGGCATCTTAAGAAGCCGATCGTATATACGACTTTCCTGTTTGTATTGTTCTACATTTGTTTATACTTGAATTATTATATATCCTTAATTGTTTATTTATGTTTCATAATATTTTCATATAGAATTTATTTAATCATCTAAATAATATCAATTCTTTTGTATTAAACATATATGTGAATTTAAATTTCTAATAATAAATTTTCATAATCCTCACAGCTAGTACGTTCGGATTATTTTACTAATGTAAATAGTTTCATACTTGTAGTTTTTGTTTAATTAATCTAACCGCTATGATTCAAAGTTTACCAATTAAAATTATACAAAAGCCTTCCGAATAGCTATTTGATTCTGTGAGTAAGTGAGTTATTAGTCAAAAATACTATTGGATCATATGTCAATTTATATTATTACGTAATTGAAAATAAGATTTAATTTTCAATTTAATCGTTGCGTGATGTTTAAAACAATTTTATACATCTTATGTCATATGGTTGACTCATTTAAATTTATGATTACCTAATAATCACGGTTTCCCTGTCGGTATGTCCTTTATTACTAATACGTTATTAACCGTAATTAATAATTAAGGAAAATATACGTTACGTCACTTTACATTCATATTAAGACAGGATAAGGCAAATACGTATAAAATTAATTAAATCTGCTTCTATTAACGACTGTTAAACTCATCAAAAATAGATTTTTATTACCATTTTTACGGTTGCATTTTTCCCGTCAACATCGTAATATGCGGTAGTGCTCCAATAATGTACTTTTTTGTTTTATCCCGAAAATACGAAACACTACTCCATATAATGCAATTTTGAAATTAAGGCTAGAACATGGATTTCTCGTGAGCTATTTCGATGGAAAGTGATTTAAACTGAGTTCTTTTTAATATCTAAAAATATTTGCAAAGTTAAAAGATATTTTTAATAAACAAATAAGTTTATATACGAAACAAATCTTTTTCATAGACATCAGAGGTTGTCTATGCCCATAGCATTCTTATATTGTATTCACTTAATCCTAAATTGTTACAACAATACAATTCCTGACACGTACCCAGTAGCCACTACCCACGTAACAGAAGTCTAAACTTGGTTTGTCCAAGGTTTTCCTTCAAAAATTCCTATCAAGTATACGTAATGTGATGTAATCGGGTAAAAGCCGTCCAACGCGTCATCAGGTGTCAGAAATACCCACATATCTTTGATATATATATATGTTTTTTAGGCTCTGGATTCAAGTTCTTTTGAGCCCTTCTTTGATGCATTCAAAATAATGTTGCCATCTATAGCTATATTTCCAATAATTGAGGTAAACTGTAAACACTAATTATAACCATAAAATTTAGCCTTAGTTAATGATTGTTTACCCATTGTTATGACATCCCCGAGAAGTCAAAAACCTCTAAATTTATAATACACATTATTCATAAAACATGCAATACTGTATTCAAAGGTTAAATTTAATTTATAAGCGTATAAAATCGTTATCGCTAAAATCGCTATACGTGATTTGTAAATGTATTTAAAAAAAGCTAAACATTTAGAAATACAAGTCATAATCACTTCGTAGAAGTATTATGTTTATGTAAACAACGTTTTCCACTGTATTTTATATTAATTACACAGTAAAATGTTTTGCAATC